TGGAGGGATTCAGAGGAACTCTGATAGCGCAATGCTGGACTAGCTTACAGCAAACACTGAACCAGACTATTTAAATGTTGAGCAAGCATTCTCTTTGGCTGCAGGATCAGCAGAGGCCAATCAGCTCGTGCCGTGTAGTAATGATGTGACTGCTTGCATGTAAAGGACCTATCAGCTTGCGCCCTCTAGAGTTTCATGACTGATATAACTACATATTTCATGTCTACAGAATAAACACTGAATTAGACTATTTAAGATGATAGTTTCTCTTTCTTTACAACCTGAAGACACACTAAGCCTGATCAACTAAGGCACTTTCTAAGAGCTCTTTCTAAGATCTTTTAGCTTCTCATAAAGGTTCAACTCTTGTGACAAAATGTGAAACTTTCACTTGCTGCCCTTTGATGTTAACTCCTTACATGACTAATGACTTGTACTTTCCTCAAGTTGAAGAGTTAATATAAAAGCATCAATGAAAATGTAAAATATGTGTAATGTAAATGTATTTGTTGTATCATCATACATTTACAAAACAATGTATTTACAGAAACTCAGGGACCCACTTTGTATTAGGCTGGCTTATTATGTACTAACATTTAAATTAATCATTTGACCCAATGCATTTATTTTATACATGCATCTAAAAAGAAAATATAGAAAATACCTGCATGTAATTACATATGTAACTAATTTCTGTAATTACACCTATATTACACTGGTGACCCTTCCTCTACCCCTTAACCACCCTTCAATAAGTACATCGTACATAACATTTTTATGGAAGTTAAAAACACCTCATATGTGGGACCAAATTCAGGGTTGAACCACTGTAAACTGATGCCGATTACTGCTTCAGTGTTACGCTTATATTCAGTGTTTCTAAATTAATGTAATAATGACACCAATGTACATTTTTATATTTTTACAAATTAGGTCATGTGTAATACGTTTCTAGAGTTGAGAATCTCACACTATCCAGCAAGTGCCAGACTGAACATAGAGAACCAATAGAGCGACAGCACCCCCTGCAGATATACTAGATTTTTAGATTTATTGTCATATAAATATTTAAAAGGACCAACAGATAGATAGAAAAAAGAATCAGAAAGACTGAGCTTATTTTTATGCATGAACACCACACATATCATTACAAGCAAAAAAAAAAAATGCTTTCAATCTTTAGATTATGAAATATTTGCCATAAACCAGTGTTATTTTAGAACTATTCCACGATTAGTGGGATAATCCGTTTTATTGATATATATACACTCACCGGCCACTTTATTAGGTACCCCATGCTAGTAACGGGTTGGACCCCCTTTTGCCTTCAGAACTGCCTCAATTCTTCGTGGCATAGATTCAACAAGGTGCTGGAAGCATTCCTCAGGGAGTTTGGTCCATATTGACATGATGGCATCACACAGTTGCCGCAGATTTGTCGGCTGCACATCCATGATGCGAATCTCCCGTTCCACCACATCCCAAAGATGCTCTATTGGGTTGAGATCTGGTGACTGTGGAGGCCATTTTAGTACGGTGAACTCATTGTCATGTTCAAGAAACCAATTTGAAATGATTAGAGCTTTGTGACATGGTGGAAGTAGCCATCAGAGGATGGGTACATGGTGGCCATAAAGGGATGGACATGGTCAGAAACAATGCTCAGGTAGGCCGTGGCATTTAAACGATGCCCAATTGGCACTAAGGGGCCTAAAGTGTGCCAGGAAAACATCCCCCACACCATTACACCACCACCACCAGCCTGCACAGTGGTAACAAGGCATGATGGTTCCATGTTCTCATTCTGTTTACGCCAAATTCTGACTCTAACATCTGAATGTCTCAACAGAAATCGAGACTCATCAGACCAGGCAACATTTTTCCAGTCTTCAACTGTTCAATTTTGGTGAGCTCTTGCAAATTGTAGCCTCTTTTTCCTATTTGTAGTGGAGATGAGTGGTACCCGGTGGAGTCTTCTGCTGTTGTAGCCCATCCGCCTCAAGGTTGTGCGTGTTGTGGCTTCACAAATGCTTTGCTGCATACCTCGGTTGTAACGAGTGGTTATTTCAGTCACTGTTGCCCTTCTATCAGCTCGAACCAGTCTGGCCATTCTCCTCTGACCTCTGGCATCAACAAGGCATTTCCGCCCACAGAACTGCCGCTCACTGGATGTTTTTTCTTTTTCGGACCATTCTCTGTAAACCCTAGAGATGGTTGTGCGTGAAAATCCCAGTAGATTAGCAGTTTCTGAAATACTCAGACCAGCCCTTCTGGCACCAACAATCATGCCACGTTCAAAGTCACTCAAATCACCTTTCTTCCCCATACTGATGCTCGGTTTGAACTGCAGGAGATTGTCTTGACCATGTCTACATGCCTAAATGCACTGAGTTGCCGCCATGTGATTGGCTGCTTAGAAATTAAGTGTTAACGAGCAGTTGGACAGGTGTACCTAATAAAGTGGCCGGTGAGTGTATATATATATATATATATATATATATATATATATATATATATATATATATATATATATATATATATATATACAATTATAGTATTTATTGATATTTAGAATTCGTTTTTATTTTCATATTTCTAGTTTTCATTAAAAAAATCATTTTAATTTTGACATAAGTTTTAATATTTATATTTAGATTTATTTTTAGTAATTTTAACACTTATGTTTTCAGTTAGTTGCCAAGGCAACATTTAAAAAAAATGTGTATTAGTATAAGTTAGTATAAGTTTTCATCATCATATGTTTTATCATATTTCATCATATGTTTTATTTTATTTGTAATTAAAGAAAAAGAATACAGTAACAACACTGCCATAAACTATATCTAAATCTAAAAATAGGGGGAAACAAGAGCCCTCAACAAAATTTCCAATATCAACAGACAATGCTAAATAAAATAATAATTTTTAAAAAGTTACACTATTTTAAAGGGGTCATATAATGGTACGTGCACTTTTACAAGTTGATTGTACTGAAATGTGTGTTGGCAGTGCCTGTACACAACCATCATATAATGATAAAAATTCATCCAGTATTTTTGTTTTAATCTCCTTATATGTTTTCCCCTGCCTCAAATCGAGCCGTTCGTTTTTTGTGACGTCACACGGTCGGACGCCCATCCCACGATTGTTGATTGACAGCAGTGTTTCAACACCGACCCGCCCTGAGCGAGCTGTCATCATAGTCCGCCATTGTTGATACGCTGGAGCAGAATGGCGTCTAAGCGATTGTGGTGTTCTGTTCTTGGGTGTAATAACGAACACAGCAGTCATTTTGATGTTCCTAAATCCGAACCGCTGAAGTGGCTGAGTTTGTTTTCGAAGGGAATATTCCCCACGAGCAACGTCGCTGCTTTCATGTTTGCGTGAATCATCTCTCACCAGACTGCTTTATAAACGAGGGTCAGTACGAGCTGGTTTTGCTAAGAAGCTGCTCCTGAAAAAAGAATCGGTACCAACTATTCGTGTTCCTGCTGCACCTCCAGAAGAAGTGAGTGTAAAATTTTGCTAATCTTTATATTATTCTTTGCAAATCGCCCAAAAAAGTTGTTCATGACCATTAACTGTAACATCAATCTGTCAACGAACTAACGTATACATCAGTAAACACATAGCGTTCGTATCTCATACTCTACCCTGCCAGTGCATACAAAAATAGATCAAAGTGACATTACGTTACTCAGAAACGTCCTGTTCAAGCCTTAATTGTCGAACTTCTTTGCGGCTGTCATCTTGTTCCGGGTCCGACTCCGGTTCAAACTGATACGGTTGCACAGATGTGTCCTCAGAGACTCCCGCTGCCATTCAATTTCCAAAATATACCCTCAACTGTTGTCAAGGCAACACTGCACGTGCGTTGTGTCAAAACCACTGATCTATATAATCATTATTATCAAAACACCCCAAAGAACAGAGGGGCATTTATCATTTAAAGGCATAGGCACTGAAACGGCATGCTGAAAGCAAAGCTGTTTTTGACCAGGTAAAATTAGTGTTTTCTTACAATACTAATGAGAATTTTGAATAAAAGTATATTACAAAGTTTTCATTTAGACCCTAAAGATTCATATTAACTTGTACAAAGATGGCATTATATGACCCCTTTAAGGTGTCATTGTTACAGTGTAATTACAGTGTAAGTACTGAGTAATATTAATTAACATACTAACTATTTAATTAGGGTTAAGGTTTGGTTTAGGGGTATTTGCGTGTAATTATGCATCATTTACTGTTATTATTATAGTAAGTACAAGTACGATGTGTAACAGGGACACTGTAAAATAAAGTGTCACCAAAAACACTAATATAAGCTGAAAACCAACATGAACTTCCGATAGACTTGTTGCAACAGCAACAACAAAAATAATAATTGATCTAATTATTGATATCATGAAAATAAAACCGTAAACTTTCATTACTTTCCGAAAGTGCTACATCTGACCTAGATAAGGAAGGAAGCCTACCGAGCTTTTTCTTGGCACAGCGTGATTAATCAATCATCTGTTGTGGTTTTGTGGCGTCTTCAGAGAAAAAAAAAACGGTTAATAAACATTTGCATCACTGTATTCTGTCCGATGCACTGTCTCTGCTTAACGTAAAGTGAAAGAAGGTCAGGGGGATGTGGCAAACGGTTCTTTCAGAAACCCAGATGCTGATTGAGGCTGTATGACAGCAATAATCTGAGACAATCACTGCTCGTGTTGCATTAATCCAATCTCTTGCTGCAACACTGGACATTATTAGTTCCTAATTTAAGACACACGACTAAGAAATAGTGCCTCCGACAGTCTGAAGTAAGAGTGATTCTTTTATTAGGATTAAAACACCGTATTGGTATGTCAAAAGTTATGTCAGATGACTCCAGCTGTCTTTAGGTATAATAATAGTAAACAAAGTGTCTTTCTACTTCTTTTGAATTCTACTTTGGTGGGAATTCTCATTTCAACATCCTCTGAAATCTATAAGTGAGCGTGAAGGTGGGTGTGTGTGACGTGTAATCAACTCCATCACGGAGATCACCTCAGCATCACATCCTCTACACACTATAAGTAGACTGACTGATCAGTGTAGAAGCTATGAAGACCTGCATCTCAGCATCTAGACACCTCAATAGAAATCAACATGGAACCAAGCATAAGGACTTTCTTGCTCTTGGCACTGACACTTGTAGCCGTTAATGGATCAAGACCCAACGTGGAGAAAATCATCTTAAGGGAAACTATAGAGAACGTGGAAAAGATCCTAAATGACCGTTCAGACAGGTCAGAGAAGGTAAGAATCAAAGTCGAGCATTTTGGTCTTGTTCTGCAACAGCTCTGAAGAGGCAAAAAATGATTCGAAAAGTCTAACAACGTTCAATCTTTCTTCCGTAGACTCTTAACCAATTTGTGAAAGACATATTTCCAAGCGGAAGCTGCTCAGTAAGTTGAATTTTATATCAAACTACAGTATTTAAGAACTAATGTTCATGATGGTAAAAATATTCATATTCAAAATTACTTTTTCGGTTACATAGAAGGAAACCCTTTGCCAAGCAGCAATGGTCCTGACGAACACACATCTAAACCACAGCAAGCTACAGAGGAACCTGTTTGCCTATGCCGAATACACCGGGGTAAGTCATCGCCCAATATTCATTCATTGAATAAGATGAAAAACAACAGGTCATATTTATAACCCTTACCATACTGTGTCTATATTATTGAAGTAGCATTCTGCTTAAACCAATGCTATTTGCTGATAGTATTAGCATGATGCTCACACTATAGATTTTTTTTTCCATTGAACTAAAATATCAGTAACAAAAAAGCCAATAAAGGTAGTCATTTACCTGCTATCGGTATTCTTCCTGCCCCTATGGTAGCACCAAATGGAACTGCAAAAGGAACTTAAAGTTAATAATTCTGTAAAAAGAGATCGGTTGACTTAATATTATTAAGTAAACGGACTTTATGCATAATTGAAAAAATTAAGTTATGAGGAATTGTCAAGTTTTTTAAGTTAAGTCAACTGATCACTTTTTACAGTGCAAAGTATGAACTATGCCTACACTGTAGATATACTTATTTTAGACGGCTTAAAGAAAAAGGTTCAATGTAGTCTAATATAACTGAATGTGTTTGTTTTTCTCCACAGCACCGTAACTGTAGCGTTCAAGCTTCAGTCAAACATCCAATGAAGGAATTTCTCACAAAAATCAAAAAATGCTGCCAACTACTTAATAATGTACATGTGAAATGACCTTAGACTTACTGCTTATGCTATATTTTTGTATTTGCTCATATTTATGTCATATTTATTGTATTTATGAATAAACATATATGATTAATTTTTAATTCGGGATTTGAAATGATTATTTACAAACAAAAGCAATGCTACAATTTTACCTTGTAAAATAATTTAATAATTTAAGGACGAGTACACGAACAAAAAAACAAAACTGTAAATGTAAACATTTTTACAGAATACATTAGACTAATGGTTTTACTACAGTGCACAATGGAAATACATTACAATTAGAGTAAGCTGAGCTAATGGCAAGGGAACATGGCATGCACATTCTCACTATAAAAAAATGAAGTAGCATAGCTTGTGTAGATGGAGCTAAAGCAATTGCACGCTGCCAATTTGATAAAACATTAAGATTAGATTGGTTTCTCAATAGCATGTTACCTGACGGCAAGCGCATCTCTTGTGTCAGACCAATAAGCTGCTCAACACATGCCAGCACAGCCATCAGTGTCAAGCCGAATATACAGTAACAGTGTTTATGTGAAGGTGAAATGTGCCTTTTGGAGTGCTATCATAATGGACATTTTACCGCAAACTATCCTCATCTAAACCCAGCTTTGGAGCAGCTCTGGAGTTTCACACATGATTTGTTTTCATCTACACTTAAGTCAAAGTGCCTTTACGTCACAAGAATCGGTATTCCCTAAGACATATACTGGCCTGGCCTTGAAAATGTACAAAATATAGTGGTCTTCATCAGACAACAGGCTCACTGCAGCAGGGATTCAATCACCGCCTCTGGTTTGGAGGAGCGTTTCCTAAAAAAAAAAAAAAAAATTTAAAGAAATTAATACTTTCATTCATCAAGGGTGCATTAAATTGATCAAAAGTAACAATGAAGACTTTAACACTGATACAAAAAAAAAAAAATTAAAATACATGCTGTTCTTTTGAACTTTCTGATCATCAAAGAATCCTGAAACAAAAAAACATCACGAAAAATATTTCAAAATGCCATTGATGTTTCAAGAAAAATATTAAGCATCACAACTGGTTTCAACATTGATAATAATAAGTAATGACAGCTGAAAATTCAGCTTTGCCATCACAGGAATGAATTACATTTTAATATTTAAAGCAAAAATAGTTATTTTAAATTGTAATAATATTTCACATTATGACTTTTTTTTTTTTACTGTATTTTGATCAAATAAATGCAGCCTTGGGGAGCATAAAATACTTTATTCAAAAACATTTAAAAAAATGAATTATTGTCAAATTTGACTGGTAGTGTATTAACTTAAAAGAACGAAATATATAAATATTACTGTTTTTATTGTCTATTTTTCTGTCTGTGGTGGTAACACTTTACAATAAGGTTTCATTAGTTAACATTAGCTAACAAACTAACAGTGAACAATACTCCTACTACAGCATTTATTAATTAATATAAGGTTAATAAATGCTCTAAAAATATGTTGTTAGTTCATGTAAGTTACAGCATTAACTAATGTTAATGTAAAGTATATAAAGCTATGGATTTACTATTTATTAATTACTGTTTATGATCAAATAAATGCAGCCTTGAGCATAATAGACTTCTTTCAAAAACATTAAACAAATCTTACTGACTCCAAACATTTGAAAGGTAATGTACAAAACGTGAGATGTTTGACTCAAATCACACCAAAAACTATTGTTAAAGCTTAAATTTTCTTTGAATTATTTAATAATATTTAATTTTAATAATATAAAAGTAAAAAAAAAGTTTTTGAATCACTTTTCCATAAAAATATCATTATGGACACAGAATATTGAGATATACTTTATGCTTATAGTGCCAATTTCAACAATGAATGTACTAATCAATAACACAGACTCGCTATATGATCAATAAGTTATTACAACATACGTTTTTATATTGTTTTAACTCATCAAAATAACTTTTTTTTGTAAGTTATCCAAGATGCAACAACATTTTTAAGTCAGTTTAATGTAATTTAAGTTTAAATTACTTAAAAATCCAAGTTGATTGTACTTAAACATTTCATTTTTTTTATAGTGCTGTACCTTTAAACAACATCTAAAATCATACAGCCTATTAATATTAGCATTCAGGGTTCCTACACATTTTCCATTTCAAAATTCCATAGTTTTCCAGACTCAAATTTCCAGACCTCCTTCCAAACAATTTTTAGACCATATTTAACATAAATGTTCCAGCATTATTTTTGGTAAATAGTAGTCATCTGTAAATATCTTTACATGCTTGCATGATGAGAAGAAACCTAAGAAGCTTTATAACCTGCATATATTCACCTTTGACAAATGATTTTGATACTGTAAATGTGGTTTGATTTTGCACGATCACCAAACAGCAAAGTGATTTAGATGTCTGTTTGCTTCTTTATCTGTTTCTGTGTTGAGTGGCTCACGCACATTCATTTAGAGACTCGCTTATGGTAAAGAATTTATTCAGTCAGTCATGTTCGCAAATCAAACAATCACTAAACATTTACCATGAAAACTCTACTTGTAGCGCTGGGTATTGACAAATTTCACAATTTGATTTAGATTCTCAAGAATGTGATTCAATTCAGTTCCGATTTTGATTAAATTCCATTCGATATTGATTAATTGCGCCATGTATCAGGTACAGAACGTAGCAATTTTTCAAGAAAAAAAAAAAGTCTCATCTAATTCTGTATACTGTACAAGGAACCCCATTTGGTACATTGGAAAACCATTACAATCTGTAATATTATTGTAAAGTTATTAGCCACTCCGCTTTTTTTCACTGGCCACAATTTTGACATCGATACCATGGGGAAAAAACTGCCATTTAGATATTTTTTTATATTATCTCATAATTTGGCAGCATGCATATTAGGCTGCTGTCACTTTAAGACCTGACGCACGGATCCATTATACTGTTACACGTGTTTTCTTTCTCAACTGTTTACGTTCACTATAAAACATAACTGACTATATTTACATGAATACTCACCCAGACTGGTATTTTGACATTACTTTGTGCGTATTTGACTGTTTAATCGCAATAAGCAGAGAAGAACTCAATTTAGTACTGAGACGCGGCTTTATGTGTGCACACTTTGGGTGTGAGCATAAAATCGGGGGGAAAGAGAAAAATTATACGCAAAACATGGAAATACCACGCTGAAATTCTTCCGGAGCAAATGAAAAGAGTGAGTGAGTGGAGGCGGTGTGTCAACTCGCTGTCGGAGAGATCATGAGAGAGCGAGATAGCGCAGCTGGTATTGTGTATCTATTTTGCGTAAAATTAGTATTGGAAGCGTTTCAGATATTTCAGTATCGTTATGTATTGAAAAATCTATATTGTCTTTTTTAAAAGACTACAATTGAAAAATGTATATTATATATAAAATTCAACCAGCCAAAGAAAGTGGCTAGTAGGCGGGTTGACGTGTGTTAATGTCAAGGCCTGGTTATAATAACTTTTTAAATGGCATTATTATGTTTCTACTCGTTTTTTGAAATCTAAAAAATTTAAATAGTGGCTGTGATGAAAAAAATACATTAAATATTAAAGAACATGTTAAGTAAAAATACAATGAATATGCAATATAGTGTGTATATTTAGCAAAATGCTCCACTCTAGAGTTAATTTTTGTAGCTGCCTAACACGTTTATGGTTATTGAATGGCTTTTCTGAGGTAAATGTAGGTTAACTATACGTGGCATTTTGATTACAACAGGGGTGCCCATTCCCATTCCAGGAAATCTACCGACCTGAAGACTACAGATCCAACCCTGATCCAACACACCTAATTAATCAAGCTCCTGTCTGAAGATCTTAATTAGCTGGTTCAGTTGTGTTTGATCAGGATTGAAGCTGAACTTTGCAGGTACAGGATTGGGCACCCCTGGTCTTTTTAATTGAGCAATTACCCAAGACATGATACGGATTTCAGTAAGATGTACTTTATCTTTTAACATTTCTTCTAAGGTGCTTAGAAGTGCTACAGCGATCTGTCACGCCATAAAGAGCGCCAAAACGGTATTTATTGTTTGAATTTATAACAAAATGTACAGAATTTGAAAGCTGAGACTTTGTTTCATATCAAAAGTAACAAAACTCAAAGCTATTTGCGATTTATTGGATGGGAGGGGCTACAAAGTTTTGTTTATTCATCAACTGAAAACCGCATAGACTAAAAGATTGATTCTTGGGATTTAAGAATTGATATTGGTTCATAAAAATAAGAATAGATTAAAATCGAGAAATTGATATTTCTAAGCCTGTGTGATAGTCCTACATTTATTTTTAGAAATTTTTCATTTATATTTTAGAAAACTCAATAGGGTCAATAGTCTGGAAACACAAATATGTTTCCATACTCTGATTTCTTTTTTTCCATACTTTTTCAGACCTGGAAATGACACATATCAAATTCCATACTTTTCCAAACTGCGTAGGAACCCTGTATGCACTAAACTAAACTGAAGGATTATTTAATTGTAAATGTTGTAACATTTATATTGTGACTGTGCCTCTGTTGTGCAAAGGTGGACCACAAAGTAAGAAAAAAAAAAAAAAACTAAAACATAACACCTCACCTACGACTAGTTTTCGGCCTGGACTTTCCGCTCTTTGATGTCCGAGGCCTTTCTAGTTTCATTAGGGACTGTCTCATGCTCTCCTCGGTGTACGCCAGATAAACATGGGAGAGGTCCACTTCAAATGGCTGAGTGACGAAAGAGGACAGAGGACAAAAATTAAACATGAAAAGGGAAGAGCATGTATCATGTGCGCCTCTGGAAAACATTCGATCTGAACCGACACTTACATCTTTTTCTTTCTTGTCTGACACAGGTGTCTGTTTTCTCATGTTGTTGCCTGTATAGGCCACGCATTTCTAAAAAATAGCAAATAGATCAGCTATATTACACCTTTTCATTGCTCCCAAACATCATGCCAGATCGGAGAGAATCGCAGAATGAAATGTGTTAAAGAAGCTCACCAGCTGCCACTCTCCAATGTCCTCATTCCAGTGCACATAGTTCTCAATCATCTCCTGTACACAAGACAACAAACAAGATGTCGTTTACACATTTTTATAGTTGGGAACCTGAAACGCTGAGATAAAAATTAAGCTAAGCTCAGACACTCTGGATATTCTTTTGGGGACTTTCGAAAGTCATGAGAATATCATCTTTTACAGACGGTAAATGCGTAAAGTTAAAAAATGCTCATTATTTCACTGAACTGCATTTGATTTATTCAGTTCTTAAAGGGTTGTACAGCCAAAATGAATTTTTTTTTTTTGAGAAAAGACGACATATTTGAGCATTCTTCAAAATATCTTCTTCTGTCCTTTTCTCAAAATGTCGTCTTTTTGTGTTTCGCAGAAAAAGGAAAAGTCTTTCTTTCTTTGAAACGACATGAGGGCGAGTAAATGACACAATGGTAATTTTTGGGTGTACTATCTCTTTTTTCTGTACAGTGTATTTGCCAGCTCAGTTTTGACATTTTTGCCTTTGTAGTGCAAGAGCAGCAGTTCACACTTTATATTATCAGCAAAAATATCAGACTAATCCTGGTAACGGGGAAAATGCAAAAAAATTATTTGCATATTAATTTATGCATGTGCTACGGCCTGAAGCGCTGTTTTAGTGCAGGAGAAAAAATAATAATGCCACCTTTTACAAATATTGAAAACTGGTGTAGTACTGTACAAAATTATACTCTAATTACTGCAGTGGTTATATAAACAGTACTGCGCTAAAGTCTTGGGCACGTTAGTATTTTCACCCCCACCCCAAGAAAATGTTTTAAGCCAGTTGTGTATATCTTTTGCTGTAATGTTTCAGTAGGAAATATCAGTTTACATTCCCAAACGTTCACTTTGCCATTAATTGTATTAATCCAGTGAGATCTGAGTCTGACAACAGCTGGTATGTTCTGATCTCACCATCATCAAGTCTGTCTGTGATTACATGAAGAAACAGAAAAAAACTGAGACAGACTAAATTCAGAAGAACTGCGGCAACGTCTCAAAGATACTTATAGAAACTTGCCTGCAAAGCTACCTGAAAAACCATGTGCAGGTGTACCAGGACAAAAGCGGTTTTAAACAAAAAAATCTATTTATGACATTATTTTTTTTAAAGCATCCTGACTTTTTCACAGTACTGTAGCTTTGCAGGCAGGTTTCTTATGTGTATATATAATGTAGATGCTTTAGATGTATTGTACATTCTTAGTTAATGTTAACTAATGTAGTTAACAAATGAGACCTTATTATAAAGCGTTACCGAAAAAAAAATAGTCAATGTGTCCCTGGGGTTCTTTACAAAACAAAGGTTTTTTTTAAATGGTTGGAGCAGATATTGTGGAAAGAGCAGTTAACAAGTGTTCAGCATACATGTGAACTCCTTCAATACTGTTTAAAAAGCATATCGGGAGGTCGGTTGAGCTGTGATCTAGATTTTTTTATCTTAATACATCATGCCAGCTTTTTTTTTTTTTTCATGGGTCTGTTATTCTAAAATATGTCAACCATAAAGAATGAGTAGCTGTGTCCAAACTTTTGACTGGTAGTGCATGTGCACCAGCATAAATATAGACCTGATATTCCTGAGGAATAAAATTATCAATGATGAGCATCTGCAGACGCAGCTCTCGGCTCAGCTGCCGGATGTTTTCCAGCAGACCTTCGATCTCCCTGTGATGCTCTTGCTGCAGATCAGCCATCTGAAACAGAAGAGACAGAGAAGTTCAATATCATTGTCAACTATGCTATTTGAAAGCACAAGAAATGTACCGCACCTCAGATTTTGCTGCCATCAACATGGTCCACACTTTCTTCAGTTTCTTGGTCTTGCCTTGAGCCTCTTCTTGTAAACTGGTGTATTTCTCCTCAATGTCCAAGCGCTCTTGCTGTTTTAGAGACATTTGCAACCATGATCCACTGTGAGATAAAACTATACAAGAATATTGGTCAAGAATGAATCTGCTAAAGTCTTATCATCATCTTTACCTCCTTTTCTTCCAGTTCTCTTCGGAGCTGCTCAGCCCTCTTCCTCCTCTCCTCCAGTTCATTGTTGGATTCTTCCAGAAGCTTCTCTTGCTCCTCGGCCTTAGCCAGTAAATCAACCCCACCAACAATAACCCTCTTTTCCAGAGCAGACAGCTTCTCAAGTAATAAGTGATGTTCCTGTCTGAGATACAGAAAATAATACAAAGCATGACACCATTATACTCATACACCCATTAAATTAATATCCATGTCAGTGTTTCTCAACCGGTTTCTCATTTTGAGTGGGTCATGGAGTGTGTAGTCAAAGAAACATCAACAACAGTAATTGTAAATGTGTTTTTTTTTATGCAAGACTTTTATTTTTAAGGATGTGTGTGAAAGCTGTTGATTCTTCTGTCATACGCAGTTTAAGTGAGAAAAACACACTGTCCTAACATTTAAAAAAAAAAAAAAAAAAACCTTCCTGTCAGGCGCTATACTGTGCTCGCGGCGCGTGCAAATGTGAAAGTGTGCGCTGTATATCACTTGATCACTATCTGTAACCCTAACAGAAAATACCCCATTATTTTCACTTTGTGTTACTTTCTATATTTTTGATGACTATGGTGGCGCAAACCAACTTACTAATTGTATTGTATTCAGGGCCAGGGGAAGACAATCCAGCACCTTGGGCAAAATAGGAATATGCCGCCCCCTACGTTCAAAATTTTAAGAAAAAAAGTCAATTTATCACATTTTGACCACTACTGTTGACTTAAGACAGGTGTAATTAATACAGTTGGATTAACTCCAACATTGGTTCTTTATTTGTTTTAAACAGCAGACTTAATATCCGTCTCTGGTCATAATTTGGAGACATATGAACCGTTTTGCCGCGCGCCCAAAACCAGTCGTCTGTGATGAGAACCCGAAACCAGGACTGGTGGGACGTTGTCCTGCTCCACTTCACAGACGCTCGCTGAGTGAAAGGAGAATTTTAGAATGACGGGACACTCATTTATATGACACGTCATATGTCATTACGCTATTTCTATGTCATTGCACATGTGCAGTGCTTTCAGTTTCGGTTTTCAATCCGATCATGTTCTCTCGATCTTATTAGAAAAGGAATAAACCACCCCTTTCAATCCGATCGAAATTTCATTTGGATAGAGCTCATTTGGATCGATTAAGGTGCTTACATGATGGCTTATTTGATTGCATGTAAAAGTATTGTCGATCGCAAAGTTTGAGACGCTCGTACTTGTCATGGTGCGGCGCCCTCTAGTGTCTGGCGCCCTGGGCATTTGCTCAGTTTGCCCAGCACTTCCGCAGGCCCTGATTGTATTAACAGACACTAGTTTAGGACTGTTATTTAACCTTATACTGTATATTCATCAGTGTTAGTCATATTTTTGAGAAATAAATTAGCTTGGATCAAATTCCTAAAAATGTGAGTCGCAGCTTAATGACTATGGGAAAATGGGGGTTCCACGACCAAATGAGTTGATAACCACTGATCTATATTGGACTGCGCCGAAATTTGTTCTGGTATCAATACCCGTTCAATGACTTGTTACACAGTATATCATCTTACTGGGCTTTGAGAAGGTCCTTCTCTCTCTTCTCAAGCTCTGCACGTGCTTTGTTCCTCTCTTCCTCCTCCATGTCCAGTTTGGCCTCCAGCGCCTTCCTTTCCTCCTCTATCTTCGCCTGCATCTCCACCATCTTGTCAGGAGATACCTTCTTTCTTCCTGAGCATGACACATTCAGAAAATATATAAAAACCTCAGCAGAAACACTCAGCACAAGAAATAACATCACATCAGATCAACATCACATCAGATTAACACAACCATTTTGTAGCAGCGATCTTACCCAGCTTAATTTCATCCCAGTTTCATTGTAAGCTGACTGACGCTGCTCGCACAAAGGCACCATAAAGCAATACAGTGATTCATGACTATTTGCACAGTAAACTTATTGCTAGTTCAGACATTTTTCACATGAGGTGTTCAAAGGTTAATGACAAAGTGATTAACTGCTGTCATGGGTGAATCTCAAAAAAAAAAAAAAACTGTTCAGGTCTTATTTCAACCCAAAAACCAAAAAGAATAAATCAATTATATTTTATATTAAGAAAATGGATCCTGTATTAGTATTTCTAACAAGTTCATGACAGGATTTGAGACATTCACTGGAGGCTGCAATAAATGTCAACACATTTTTCTCATCCTCAATGTTAAAGTCCCCCTGCAGTCAATAATTGTATCCCGAACACATCTTTGATAATCAAGATGACATTTTGTTGACATTCATGCCTTAAAATAGCTTGAATTTAACTCTGCACCCTTGCTTAATTAAGTATACATGGAGCCATGAATGTACGAATTATGCGTAATTACCCTAGGCTCGAGATGACAACACGTGACGTTCTATTTGGAACTGTTCATGTCCTCGGACTGCAACTGGGTTTCTATGGTGATACTATCAACGCGTAAATAGAAATTTCAAGAATATTTGCGATAATGATATTCATGACGATATAGAAAAAAATATTAACAAAATTAAGGGCATTTTCCATCCTTTTCCAATGAGCTAAATGCACAATGGGCATTTTTTAGCTAAATGTTGCGCTTGCAACCTAAAATGTTACAATGGCGTTATTTTGTTGTTAAGAGTTTACACAACACAAGGAAGCTTGATTTCAATCATTGAATTAAATAGAAAAAAGTAGCAAAAATGTATACAAAATAACAAAGATACAAATAAAGAGAAACGTTTTTGGGTATGTCTAACACTAGTATTCAGAAATACTACAGAAACTGAATAAAGTAATCAAATGTAAAATAACACTGATAGTCTTTTAGTCCTGAGTAAATTAAATAGGCTATTCATTCTGATTCCTTACAATTAAAGCTATCTTTTGTTGTTTTGACGACAACATTAATGACAGACACATGGCTGCTGTCACTTTTAGAACTAGTGCACGGATCCATTACTGTTTTCATTACACTGGCTGTCACACAAGTTTTATGCTTATTTAAGACAACCGACTGTGTTTACGAGTATACTAACCAAGACCTGAATTTTGACAAAATTTTGCGTGTTTTTTACCGCGAGTACTGAATAGTTTAAAATCGCTGGAATATTTAAACTGATATGACTTAAAAAGACGTAAAAATTATAAACTTAAGTTACGATGCACTGCTGGCCCGATTGTGCAAGTGACAATTCCGTCATGTCCCGACTCCTAAACACGAGAGTGTAGTATCGCCGCCTGCACCGCTTGGCTTGTGCAACCCATTTTGAGAGATGAGAGAAAAGATGCATGCACCATACATCATTGCGTCGCTATATCATTGATATTGCGATATGACACTTTTTTATCATGTAAAAATGTATACCGGTGTTATAGTGGACGGTATGATATGGCACACCACTAATGACTACATTACCAAAAAGCTAATAATGTGTTAGCGGTAGGAAAGGGGGCATTTTCAAACCACATTGGTACGTTTACACGACAGCGACGTACTAAAAATGTAAACGTTTTTTCTTTGCGTTTTTTTCGCATACAGACCACGTCGTGGTCAAAACCATCCCAGTTCACACGGATCTGTGAAAATGACTAAAACGCTGTATTATTCATGCCAGGCCAGTAGATGGCGATGTCACTTTGTAAAGCATCACATCACAGTTTTCACAAATTCACTTTTTTTCGTTTACACGGAGATGGGAAAAAATGTGCACTTTTGAAAGCCGTTTTCAAAAGATTGCGTTTTCAGCCTCCCACAATGCCATTGTCATGTAAAAGAACGGCCAAAACTAGGGCTGCAACAACTAATCGATAAAATCGATTAACTAAATTGTGGGACAGTAAAAAAGCGTTCTAGAGTCTATTTCTAGAGTTTGGAGGTGCCGGGAGGTTGGGCTGGTGAAGAGATTATGACCTCTTATGACCCCTTTACCTCTGTACAGATAATCGTTGTCGGGATAATTCCGGTTCACGTGGCTACGCCGAAGCGATAAAATTCTGTATTATAAATTTTAAGGCCAGACAGACAAGTAGTTTGTTGAGGGTTGGTTTTTTAGGGAAGGACTCCATGCCTGCGCACATACAGTTAGGTCCATATATATTTTTGGACACAGGCACAATTTTCACACTTTTGGCTCTGTATGCCACCAGAATAAAATTAAAATGAAACAATCAGGATGAATTTGAAGTGCAGACTTTCAGCTTTAATTCAAGAGGTTGAACAAAAATATCAAGTAAACATTTTAGAAACTGCAACCATTTTTATACACAGTCCCCCCATTTTCAGGGGCTCAAATGCAATTGGACAAATTAATATAATCATTAATAAAATGTTTATTTTTAATATTTTGTTGAGAATCCTTTGCAGGCAATGACTGCCTTAAGTCTGGAGAGTGTCCTTCACTTGGCTGGATGCTGTGAATGGGTTTTTCTTTATCATGGAGAGGATCCTGCGATCATCTACCACTGTTGTCTTCCGTGGACGTCAAGGCCTTTTTATGTTGCTGAGCTCACCAGTGCATTCTTTTTTTCTCAGAATGTACCAAACTGTTGATTTGGCCACTCCTGATATTCCAGCTATCTCTCGGATGGATTTATTTTGTTTTTGAAGCCTAATGATGGCCTGTTTGACTTGCATGGAGAGCTCCTTTGAACGCATGATGTAGGTTCACAGCAATAGATTCCAAATGCAAATACCACTCTTAGAATCAACTTCAGACCTGTTACCTGCTTAATTGATAAAGAAATAACGAAAGAATAGCCCACACCTGTCCAAGAAACCACTTTTGATTCAATTGTCCAATTACTTTTGGTCCCTTGAAAAAGGGGGGTGGCTACTCTCAAGAGCTGTAATTCCTAAACCCTTCCTCCAATTTGGATTTAAATACCCTCAAATTAAACCTGAGAATGTGCACTTTCAGCTCATATCCATTATATAACTATAGCTTGAATATGTTTTGGTAAATATCTGAAAAAAAAAAAATGTGCCTGTGTCCAAATATATATGGACCTAACTGTATATTCAAACGCGCATACCTGTGGAGTGGGCTCTTAATACGCATGTGCACGCCATCAGCGTTCTCACAGGTTCGCGTTTTTAAAGTTTGCGTAGAGAGAACTTAAGAGTTTCCTGTTAAAATGGTGTCGTGTTAGCGGCCCCTAAGTTAGTAACTAATGATCGTTGTGACGTTTTAATTTCCTATCATCACTGTAAAGCCACTTTGGAACAATCTACATTGTTAAAAGCTCTATATAAATGAAGATGACTTGACGACACTCAAGCACATTGCGCAATAAGAGAAAACACAAGCACATATCACATCATCATCTAAATGTCTTTTAAAGAGGAATCAAGTCTGCAATTGTGTTGGAGTGAAATGACACAGCAGTGACCGAGCATTAGGCTGATGCAGAAAAACTGAGGTGCACCAGAAAGGAAGACGATAAGCATGAAGTAATCAGATGTGAGTTTCAGTGAGAAAGGTGGTGCCTGTGAATCATTTATAAAGTTCCTGTCGGTAGAAGTATGGTGTCCTATATTCAGCTTCTGCTGTGTCACTGAGTCTGCTGCTACCTACTGATTCAATTTATTACACATCTGTTCTATGGCACCTAAAATAAAGGCTTGACTGGTGAATAATTCATGTCATTTATTAAAAGTTATTAGAAGCTGGGTAGATTTTATGATTAGCAGCGGGTGCCACATTGGAGCTTGAGCATCCAAGACTAATTTAAGTTCTTTAAATTTAATTTATATTGTGTAATACGCACAGCACAGTGTGTGCTATCTGGGGCTTTGAATACAGTTATGTACACTACTGTTCACAAGTTTGTAAAGAAATTAATACTTTCATTCAGCAATGACACATTGTGATAGTACCGGTGTTGCTTCTCCATCCCTCAAAATTGTGTTCTTTTGAATTTTCTATTCATCAAAGAATCCTGAAAAAAATGTGTCATGGTTTCCACAAAAATATTAAGCACCACAACTGTTTTCCACATTGATGATAATACGAAATGTTTATTGAGCAGCAAATCAGTATAGTGTGTATTTGGGAAAAGTGATTAAGGGAGCACAAAAAGTGGGAATAACTCGCGTTTTCCATGTGCTGCTCCATCCATCACTCCTCAAAATGCCACAAGGCAAGCTAAGATGCTCTTTGGATGATTCTCAAATCATGCTGGAGAACATGGTCATCAGGTTTACCCTGTGCAGCTTGAGTGCTGCTGTCATTAAAGCAAACCAAATACTAAGCCATCCTGAAATTCATGTTTATTTTTCAATCCAGCTTTTCACTCAAATTGAGGCTGAATCTGGCTGATGATAATATCTTTTTATAACAAAAATTGCATTCATCTGCATTTTTACCAGTGGTCCCAGACTGTTGGGCTGCATGTGGGCACAATCAGAGTGTAGAGTCATTACCAGGCATTAACTGTTTTGCTCTCATGACGCACAATGAAACTACATCTGCTTGATCTGATGGTCTAGACAAGCACACCAAAGCCACATTGTCTATTCCTTTCACTGATATGTTGTGATATCCAGAAATTTCAACCTAGATGACGTCAGGGTATGTGCAGTGCATCAGAAATTTAATAGACATAAATGCCCAAAGTTTTTATAAATACACTTGAATGAAAGTTTAATCTCTTTATGTTTTGCAATAAAGCAACATTATCTAATGAGGTCAAAGACAAAAATAATAGAACGACCGTGACATGTCATAAGCAGAATATGAAGATGATTTGTAAGGCAATACTTGTGGTAAAAAAAGTCAAAACCACAGACTGCATCATCTTTCTAAGAGGCCTCTCTGACTAATGTTGTCCAGTCATGAAGTGGAAAAGAAAAAGGGGAAGTTCATACCTCTTCGTTTCCTGCGTCTCTCTCCTCCCTCACCAACTTCATCTTCACCTTCATCCATGTCATCTGATCCACTGCCGTCAGAACCAGAGATCTCCTCACCTGAACAGTAGTAGCATAGCATTTATCAGCACTGAACATGTATAAATACTTTGGCTCTGTACCAAACCCTAAAGGGACTCTAACTTTGATAAGTGCATCTATGATTGCTACAATTCAGTCAAAGAAAGCAAAAAAAAAAAAAATGCTGCCTTTCAAGACAGCATCTTTGGTCAAATTCTAAAGCAAAATAATGTTTTATGAACATTAATAATATTTTTTAATATTTAATAATACTTTATATAAATTTAGTGCAAATAGTACAGAAAACATACACAACGTTCAAAGTTTTTTCTTTTTGCAAAAAATTAACAACAAGGATGCATTAAATTGATCAAAAGTGATAGTAAAGACATGTTACAAAAAAATGTCTAAGCAGTACAACTTTTTATAATATTGATAAATAATAATATTAAATGTTTCTTGAGCAGCAAATGAGCATATTATTATGATTTCTGAAGGATCACGTGACACTGAAGACAGGAGTAATGATGCTGAAAATTCAGCTTTGAAATCACAGGAATAAATTACATTTTTAAATATATTCAAATAGAACAAGTTATTTTAAACTGAAATAATATTTCACAATATTACTGTTAAATATAATTTTACCAACATCACCAGCCATTAACTACGTAATCAACATGCTAACATAAAACTCTAATAGAATCAACTATGAGTGTTAATTGGGAGTCTTATGCACTGTATTCTGTGTGACCGTTAGAAGGTAGTTCCCTATGAAGACAACCTTGTAGCTAATGAGGAAATGAGTCACATCCCGAAGACCAACCCTGACATAAAAAAATACATAGATGAAACTGATGTGTGGTACCTTCTTCCAGTTTTTTCTTGAGCTCTTCAATTTCCTTCTGAAATTGGCGCAACAGTGCATCCTTGGGGTCCTCATTAATTCTGGCCTTATTCTTGATATTTTTGGCACGGTTAGCATAGCGGAGAGTACTGATGGTCTCATCGTAGTTGTAATCTGCTGGGCCGATGTTTGCACACTGCAAAGTAACAGATCATTAAAACAGAATTATACTGTCTGCAGTACTTTGACTGAAATGGCATTCATTTCTACAGAGTTTTAATCATAACTAGTAGAAAAAGCTCATAACTATGTGCACATCGACTGTCGTACCATCATGGTTTTAGAGTTTCCTCCGAGAGAGTCCTGTAACAGTCGGGTGAGTTTTGAGTTCCTGTAGGGCACGTGGGTGCTTTTCCCATCCACTAGTGCAGAGATAACATTTCCCAGGGTGGACAGGGACAGGTTGATTTTTGTGGCTTCTTTAAGACGCTGACCTGTGGCACCTGTTTTTCCTTGTCTTTCAGATCCCTGAGCAATAAAACAATTGAGTAACGGAAAGGAAACCAAAACACTAAAGTTCATCCACATGATGAGGGTCGCTTACCGCAAGGTCGACCAGGTGTAGCTTGCCCATGCGCACATGTTGATTTCCATCTACACCTTTCTCACTGCACTCAATAGTTATGGTGAAGATGGCATGAGAGCGAGAACTGTGCTCGTTCATATTAGTCGCACCTACAGAACCTGGACAAAGACAAACAACACGGATTTTGGCCATCTTTGGACTTCCTGTCTAGAAAGCACCGAACCCAATGCCAAGTAAAGTTGACCCTCGCTCTAATATTCTCACTTTGGTCAACACATTTTTCTATATTACTATTATAATCAGTTGGGGAAAGTTAGTTTTAAAAGTAATGCGTTACAATATTGCTTTACTCCCAAGAAAGTGACTAATTGTGTCACTTTTTTATGGAACATTACTTTTACGTTACTTTTTCTCACCTGGGCTGGGCATGCTTGTTTCTAATTAAACACAACACAAAAAAAAAAAGTTCAATTTTGGCACCAAAAGTGAAGCCACAGGCTGAAGGAAATGCAAATTTACGCCTGTAGAGTAAAGGACGTAACTCAAACAAACCTAACAGCTGTGCTGCAATTCTGAATCGCAGAAGAATAGGACGCAGAAGAAGAAAGTTCAACCCTCTTACTTAAAAACAAACGATGTTTATCTAAAGTAATTTTTGCTTTTTTAGTATGGTTGAATTGGATCATTGAAGGTCAGCAGCAAAGTCAATGGTTGTGAGGTTAAATACATAAAGTATATTTGTATTATTTAACATTTAATTATTGCAGGTCTGCGTAATATTCTGAGTTTGCATATTATTCTGAAATGATTCAACCCCCATTGCAAATCAGGTGCTTCAGACTGCAGAAATCATTAAAAGTAGCATTTTCGGTTGGATTTGGGGAAACCACTTGAAACATTTGTTGGTTTGAACTATTTCAATTACTTTTATTTGATTTGTTCATTGTAAACAGCTGAAAGTCAGTAAATTTTGCTAATAAACCTGATTTGAAATGGGAGTTGAATCACTTCGATTGTAACTGTACGTAATCTGATTACGTAACTCACATTGCTTGTAATGCGTTAACACTGATTATAATTACTCATTAAAATTCATTTTAGATTTTTGCAACCAATAAAGAAATAAAGCAGTCATCCATGCTCATGGCAAAACATACCCACACAAATATTACATATTCATACCCACATTTAAGATTTATTTTAAAGACTTTACTTATCCAACTCTAAATATTACTTTGCATTCCGAAAACAACTAGTATGTTTAATTTATTCAATAAAATAATTATACACTCACGGTTTTTGTGTCCAAGGGTCATAATCCGGTCCATATCGTCAGCATTGTTTACCACATATCCAGAAAGATCCTTGATATAAACTCCTACATCAGGTCTCTCCTTGACCTGTATTATAATTTTAGCATTCATTATTTGCATTTGTGGCCTTTACAATTCTGAATTTAAGTTGCACAACAAATTGCCTCATTTCAATTATAGCTGTAGTTAAGTCAGACTTCCTCAAAAACAAAAGTCTTACATTCATAAGGTTACACTACCATTCAAAAAGTTTAGGGACTGTCAGGTTTTTTTTCTCGAAAGAAATTAATACCGGTATATTTATTCATCAAGAATGCATTAAATTGATCAAAAGTGACAGTAGACATTTATAATGTTACAAAACATGCATTTTTAAATAAATGCTGTTCTTTTGAACTTTCCATTTATCAAAAAATCATGAAAAAATAAAACATGGCTTTCCCACTCTACAGATAAAGCGTTGTGAATTCCGGCTCGCGTACCCCGAAGTGATAAAATAAAACAAAATTCTGTATCAAAATTTATAGGCAAGAAAAGTAGTTTGTTTAGGCTGGGTTGTATGAATTACAAACCTGCGCACATATTTTAAAAAGCACATAACTATAGAATTCTGAATGAGCATGTGAACGCCGTCAGCGTTAATCACAGGTTCGCGTTTAAAGTCTGATCATTTCGACGGAGGTGAATCAATCAAAGTTAACTTCAGCTGGAAGAAGAACCGCTATAACGCCAAAACAATCTGTTACCTTAAATTATATGTTTGTCTCTGTAAAGCTGCTTTGAAACAATCCATTGTTAAAAGCGCTATATAAATGAAGATGACTTGACTTGACAAACAAATTAAGCAGCAAAACTGTTTTCAACATTGATAATAAGAAGTTTCTTGAGCAGCATATCAGCATATTAGAATGATTTCTGAAGGATCATGCGTGAAGACTGGAGTAATGGCAGTATTGCTGTTTTACTGTATTGTTAATCAAATAAATGCAGCCTTGTTGAACTTAAAATTTAAAAAGACATTACAAAAAGCTTATCGACCCCAAACTTTTGAATGGCAGTGTATGTTGTTATTTATATAAGCCAGTGTTTGTTGACACTAATTGTGGAGAAAAATGCTGAAACCATTGAAAAGCTGAAAGCTGAAAACAACATCAAATTAAATCCAATATAGAAAAATATTTAATAAACAAACCCGCAGAGTGTGCAATTATCAAATTAGTTCGAATTATCAACTTCTGTTTGACGCGTTAGAATTCAGTGGAAGTTGGTGCTGTTTTCTGTAGAATTCTGTGGGGGCAGATTTCATGCGGATGTATGCATTAGTCGAGTGCTTCATGGCCTATATTTGGAGTGTTGGATTAATGGCACACCTAGTAAGTGCAATGCTGGGGGGCCCCCAGAAACAGGAGTGAGAAACACTATCATCTCAAGCTCTCAACTTTCAGATATGCGGAAATATGTCGGTTTCTCACCTCCAGCCTCTGCATCTGGTCCTTTCCCAATAGGTCTCGCACCTCCTCATTGTATATTTCCAAATACGAAACTCTTACCAGAAACCTGTGGTCAGATGACACATGTCAGCAGAGTTCATCTTAATACTGTTCACATCTCTGATAACGTTGAGAAGATGAATCATAAGAAATCATGAGAATTCATTAATTCAACACATCGAATAAACACATTAACCCCTAAACCACAGCACTCAAAAACAATCCCCGTCTCACCTGGTGTCTCCTTCTGCTTTTGCAATGTGGCCAAATACATGAGCAAATGAATTTGGAATGATGCCTCTGAGTTCAGGCACTGCCCTGACACCCTCCATGGTGAACGTTTTCCCTGTGCCTGTCTGACCGTATGCAAATATGGTTCCTGAAAAAAGAAATGAATCTTTGCAAAAACAGCCAAATAGATGAAAACTTGGCAATCTATGCAATATTGTCTTTTACTTACCATTGTAACCCTCTAATACTGAGTCAATGATGGGTCGAGCTGTTAAATTATACACATCCAGCTGTTTGCTATCTTGTCCGAACACTGTGTCGAAGGTGAACGTCTTTGGCGGCTCACTAGTTATATCAAGTTTGTTCACAGTAATGGTTCCTCGGATCTCGTCCACAGTGACGGCCTGCTTGTGTGCCATCATCTTCTCCTTCTCGTTGAGGGGTCGACATCTCACCACCACCTTCACGTTATCACTCACCTCCATCTTCTCTGGTTTATCCAGCTTATTACTCTGTACAAATACAAACCAAAAACATTAGGGCGGGACTGTTTGTCAGCACAATGGAAGTCGGCCATAAATATGTGAAAATTCATCATTATTTTTTTAATTTTTTTTATTGTGATTGTAATAGATTTTGTAAAATCTAAACTATGAAATAAAAAAAAACAGACAATTTATAGGTGCATTCACACCTTGTCGGAATTACCGTAAATACGAGATTCTGGCTTGTAAAAAGTGTTAATGTCTTCGTAGAACTAATTTCAATTTATAAACTCTGAATTTGTACCATGTGACCGCTGTACCACCTGACCACAGCAGATTCATTTTAACAGCTCACGGGTTGCCATCTCGTAATTACGGTAATTAAGACATGGTGTGAACGCAGCATATGACTGCACCTTAGTTGTGGCATCATTTCTAACTATTTTGTTCTTAAAGGAGTAGCCTAGTTCACTTTTTAAAAAACTTTTGCTGATAATTTACTCACCCCCATGTCATCCAAGATGTCCATGTCTTTCTTTCTTCAGTCGAAAAGAAATTAATGTTTTTGATGAAAACATTCCAGGATTTTTCTCCATATAATGGACTTCAATGGTAGCCAAACGGTTCAAGGTCTAAATGACCGTTTCAGTTCAGCTTCAAAGGGCTTTAAACGATACCAGACGATGAATAAGGGTCTTATCTAGAGAAACGATCTGTCATTTCAAAAATAAATAAAAATGACTCGAAAAGATTCGTTCATTTTGATGAACGAGTCAATGACTCAAAAAAAGATTCGTTCATTTTGATGAACGAGTTCGAACAGGAGAGTTTGCAAGGCGAGCATTTGTGCCTATAAAACTTGAACTTTTTTATTTATTTTTGAAATGACCGATCGTTTCTCTAGATAAGACCCTTATTAATCGTCTGGTATCGTTTAAAGCCCTTTGAAGCTGCACTGAAACGGTCATTTAGACCTTGAACCGTTTGGTGCCCAGCAAAGTGCATTATATGGAGAAAAATCCTGGAATGTTTTCATCAAAAACATTAATTTCTTTTCGACTGAAGAAAGAAAGACATGGACATCTTGGATGACATGGGGGTGAGTAAATTATCAGCAAAAGTTTTTTAAAAAGTGAACTAATTCTTTAATAAGGTTTACAAACAGAATCAGATAAGAATAAGTTTTAGAAGAAATTTGCTGCAGGGATAACGTTAAAACCCGGAAGACTAATTCGCCACTGGTTCCCTCAAGATTTTTCCTATGGGGTTTTATAAAGGGGTTTTTCAATTCATGAACAAAATGAGGTCTGGAAAACATAACTTAAAGATACTTTCTATATTTCTAGATACTTATTAAAAACATATGTTTTTTAAAATAAAAAAATAACAGCTTCACATACTTTTTGATATGGGTGTGTATTATTTACGCTGTTGAGCAAAACTTTCAACAACTATTGTCAAGTTACATTTACCTCAGACCTTATTTTACTCATAAATTGAAAAACCTCATTATAATAGGAAAACCAATGGTGAATTAGTCTTGCTGGTGGAGACTAATCCCTGCAGCAATCTATTGCCAATTCTAAGTTACCTTTGTTAAAGTATTATTTGTCTTTATGTCGGATATTACAAACACTTTATAATATGGGAGGACCAATATGCATTAATTCATGCTTAACAAATTAACACATAAAACTGGAGTTAGCATATAGGCCTAATTCATGAAGAACTAAACCATTCATTAATAATTGCCACATCAGCAACTAATAACGAGTCTATCTGATTAATAGATTAAGTCATATAACAACTCTTATTAATTAAAAGTGTCAATCTTGGATTAATTCCATATAAATATCTAGTTTTAACTAATAGTATAAATTGATGTTTATAAAATAGATAGTTCCGGTCCTTGATTCTGATTGGTTGAGCCGCGTACAAAGCCGTTGTAAATTACGCTACAAACATATACCTGTGACCTCATTACATCAGTATTACTTTATACAGTATTATTATTAGAACCTTTTTATAAAAGCAATAAGCCCGTTGAAACCATGGTTTATAGTGAATTTAGAAAAACAGCCAAGGCTGTTTTAGGCATTCCGCATTTGTGACTAATACATAAACGGCATGTGGCAATTACCGTAGGCTCGAGATGACAACACGTGACGTTCACATCCTCGGACTGGGAATTATGCGTTTCAACACTATCAACACCTAAATAAATCTGCAGCGGTCACATGGTACAAGTAGGAGCTCTCAGAAAACTCCCATCTTACAAGCTGTAATTACGAGGTCTACGAGGACGTGAATGCTTTTTGCAAGTTGAAATCTGGTAATTACGGTAATTACAACATGGCATGCAAGCTTCAGTTAATTACCACAATGGGTCGAAGCCATGCTTCTCAACTTCCAGACGTCTGTTTTGAACTAATCACTAGCTAGCTAATGATTTGCAAATATATCAATCTTCAATGCTGCATGCACACTCACCGGACACTTTATTAGGTAGGCTACACCTTTCTACCTGCTTGTTTACGCAAATATCTAATCAGCAAATCACATGGCAGCAACAAAATGTATTTAGGCATGTAGAGATGGTTAAGACGATCAGCTACAGTTCAAACTGAGCGTCAGACTGGGGAAGAAAGATGATTTAAGTGACTTTGAACGTGGCATGGTTGGTGCCTGACGGGCTGGTCTGAGAAACCGCTGATCTACTGGGATTTTCAAGCACAACCTGCTTCAAGCTTCGTCATGTTGTGTGTTCAAAGAGGCTCTTCTGCAGACCTCAGTTGTAATGAGAGGTTATTTGAGTTACTATTGCCTTTCTATCAGCTTGAACCAGTCTGGCCATTCTCCTCTGACCTCTGGCATCAACAAGGCATTTTCTCCAACAGAACTGCCGCTCATTGGATATTTTATGCACAGCAGCACACACCCGAAGCACGCACACACTGAGTTGTGCGTTTCAGACAGCGCACAAAGATCGAATTTAATCCTCTTTCGCACCTCCTTGCGCTTGAACAGACACATACATGTACACACAAAATGACGATAAAATGCCCGTCTCGGCAAGTATTTTCATAAACAGTCGGTTATGTCTTAAGTGAACGTAAACAGCTGAGAAAGAAATAGGATCCATTCATTAGGTCTTAAAGCGACAACAGCCATAAATATCTGCCATTGTCTAATAATGTTAATCAAACAACAAAACAAAGTTGTTGCTTTAACAAAGATTAATCTATATTAGGGATGGGGCCGATCCGATCCAGTATCGGTATCGGGACCGATACCAGCGTAATTCACGTATCGGATTTTCCCGATCCAACCTGCGGAGATATCCGATATCCATGAGCCATGTCTGCGCTTTAACGTAGTCTGCTGAAACGACTCCAAAAGTGATTCCCGCGGCTAGTCTCATAGCTGGCTGCAAACTGTGGAATGGATATCCTGAACGGAGGTGCGGCTCAATGAGACACAGAGACCCCCCCTCAGGAAATCCATTCCGCAGTTTGCAGCCAGCTAGCAGGATAGCATTGAGCTGCCAACATGTTCACTGTGTGGAAATCCTATGGTGGACATACTTCACACTGGAAACACCACAGCAGAGCAAGACAGCAAAATGCAATGTTCGCAAAGCCGTATTAATTAAACCATTTGTCTGTGATGCATGTTTGCTATTCGCAGTCCAGAAGAGAAAGAGAGAGATCTCTCACGCGGTGCCACAGCGCGCACAACACGACAGCCCATCAGCATGATCGGTGATTGTTGTAAAATGCAGTCTCTACTGTTGCTAAATTGCGGGACGCTTTTAATAATAAAAAAAGCTATTAAAAGCACAAAAATCTGCGCAAGAGAAGCTGTTCCCGCGTCGCGCGCTCCGAAACAGACCGCAACGAGACAAGCACATTATGCTTTGGGCTTCATATGCACGTCTAAACGATCAAATGTAGCCTACACAAAAATGTCAAAATGACCGGCTTGGAGATTCACTAAAACAGTTTGTCTAAAATGGACGTAGTTATGGAAATAGTTGGGAGAAAATATGGTGCACTCGTTCTTAAAGGGGAAGCAGTCTAATATAATTAACATGCTGACGATTGCCCCATTACTGAGAATCAAACAACAAAAGGCAAAGAGAAAATCACTCACAGCTCTTGAATGAATAACTTTAGCTTTAATAAGCATAAATCTATCTATGATAAACTTTGCAGTGCTATTTTACTTTTGATTACTTTATTATAATTATTTTTAGACCATACCTGAATAATGTTAGTAGACCTTCCTGAAATTAAAGCACTGTGTAGGCCTGTATAATGTGTATCTTTGTTTAATTGTCTATCTTTTGTTTATCTATTGTTTAATATATATATATATATATATATATATATATATTGACATACATGCATACATCCGTACATATCATACTTGCCTGTAGAGAGGAGTTTATTTCAGCATCATATAAAATCAACAATAATGATAATAATAATATTAAAGCAAACACAGCTCTGGTATCGGAAAAGTATCGGTATCGGCCGATATCCAAATTCAGGTATCGGGATCGGATCGGAAGTGAAAAAATGTGGATCGGTGCATCCCTAATCTATATTAAATGTATACAGGGAACACTATAGTGTTATTTTACATTTAATGAACACTTTAGTTTTCTGTACCTGAAAGGCTGTTAGACCTTACTTTATTTGTAACTTTGTTATATTGTATTTATCCATGCTTGTAATTTGTGTATTTGTTCTTATTTTATTACTGACTGTTCACTAGTCTTTAAAAAACGTTTGATTATTAAAAGCTAGATTTTTGCTGTGGTACTGAAATACTTAAAGTGGACTTTAGGCAATAAATGAAAAGCAAAAATACATTAACCCCACACATTTGTTTGTGTGTTGTTGATCCGAAAAATTTTCCGATCTATGACTCAAAAACCAATATAATCCAATGACCCGTTACACCACTAGAATTTGGCATAAACAACATAAAATAATGGATCCATCCGTCCTTGTATCAATGGTTCAGGCTGCTGGTGATGTAATGGTGGGGGATACTTTCTTGGCACACATTGGGCCATTTAGTACCAAATGACAACGAATATGGACCAAAATCTCTGAGGAATGTTTCCAGCACCTTGTTGCCACAAACAAGACAAAAGGGGCTCCAACTCGGTACTAGCAAGGTGTAGCCTACCTAATAAAGTGGCCGGTGGGTGTATGTCCAAGAAGTTAGTTGACAAATAAACTAGTAAAACTGTTAATTGTTTTATAAGAGCTTATTTTTCTAAAAGTCACAAAGAAAAGAGCCCATAAATAAAGAAAGACCAAATTAAGGTATATTTACGTGAGCTATGGGTTCTCTTGTAATCTCAATCTTTATTGTAAAGGTCACCGGTTACTGATGTCTCTGAGAGGTGGGGTCAACGCTGTTGCTAAGCAGCGGATATGATCGGCCTGTGTCGAGCTAACGGCTAAATTTATCGACAACAAAAAGGCAAATTCATTTTTACACGCAGAACATCCCTAGTTAACTTATCTGTTGTAAGCGGTTTTTAAAATAATTTCTCATGAATCCAAACGTGAATCTGACTAGTTGACAGATTTTAACATTGTAAAACCCCTTCAATTTGCTATGATGCTAATAACTAGCAGGCAGCTAGTTTGTTGTGCACAAAACCACTCTAGTCATTAAAAAGGACAAAATCATCACACAAGAATTAAATGCATCATAGAAGTGAACGATAACGCCGAGTGCATGTTAGAAAACGCAGTCAAATAACAGTCCGTGAATATTTGCATGAGATTATGGTTGCAAAGCGAAGGAAGGATGGGAAGGTGGGGCATAACAACACACATATTACACAGCGATAAATAAAGATAGGAGATTACAATCTTACCGGCATTTTAAGATGCGGATATATGGCTCTTTATTAAGACCTCAATAAACGCGTTTTCTGAGGAATGACACTCGATGAGCTCATTCGGGTGGATGTTGTGTTTTTCCAGTGCCGATCCCAAACTCAACCTGCCCAGTGCTGCGGTTACTGGACATGCGCGAGCGGCAATGCGTGCTCCTGATATCACCCGGACATAAACATTTATGTATATCAATAATGTTTATTAGTCTTTCCCAATACCATTCCTTTCATCTAACGGCATAGTATTATATTCGTCATTTTGCCATCTGGTATGCTTTATTATTATCAGTATTATCCCACTGTCACTAAATCCTTGATTTTTTTGTGTCATGTTTCAGTATGTATCTTACTGAAATGGCAAAGTATTCACGTGAAGGGGACGCAAAAGGAGAAATGTGTTTTTATGTTTAATGCAAATAATACCCAATTAAATTCAATAAAAGTCAAAAAGGCCTTTAAGAGAAAATTCTTAAGTATTTTTTGTTTATTATTAGTAGTTGAATCATTTTCACAAAAATAAAATAAAAAAATACACGGACTGAGAACAGGAAACCTGAAGATTCAGGATATACAGTAGTTGCTATGACATTTTATACAACAAAACGTTTCCACCTTTACTATATTGAGACAACAGAATTTTGTGCGTGAAAAAGACAATCTTGAGTAAGTCGTCATTAGGCCTCCTTCAATCCAGCAGTCGTACCCCCGGTTTCACAGACAAGGCGTAAGCTAGTCCCAGTCTAAAAACCATGTTTGAGCTGTTTTAACTGAAAGCAACTTGTACTGACACATCCTAAAACATGTCAGTGCCATTGTTTTGTCTTAAGATGCACACCAGTAATGTTTTTTTTTTTTTTTTCTAAGGCATGTTTATAAAAGCCACTTAAATGTCCTAATTGAGCTAAAATCTAATCCTGGCTTAATCTAAGCCCTGTCTGTGAAACCAGGCCATAGACTCATTGGCTACTTGGTTCCCAGAATTAACAACCTTCCCCCACCTCTCACCCCATCCTAAAGTGCAAACAGTGATTCAACATACAAAAAGGCACAGTTTTCAGTCATAACTGACTAATGACGAAGGAAAAGCCAACAGGTTTTTGTGCCAAGTGGGTGTGCATGAAAAATGATGTGTTCTGTCATATGTTATACAAGGAATATTGCTTTAAATTTCGGTATATTGCACAACAGGCTCAAATGACTCGACTCTAAACACAGCACTGGTCGGAGAACACGTACACAACAGAAGAAACTGTGGCTCTCAAAGGACTTTGTCTAGTATTTCCAGAACGCTGATGTGGAAAAGGCCCGTTTTCCCACTGATCTCCTGAGTCACCAGAAGCCTTCCGTCTGCTCGAGGCCTTTGAACGATGACTATTTCACCTTCCGTCAGCGTGAGCTCTGCATCTGTTTTAGCGTTGTACCCCTTCATTACCCTATATCTGCAGAAAAATCCATGTGTCAACATCAAAAACAGAACGCACCAATCACAAAAAGCCAAAATGTGCTACAGCATATCTAAATGCTTCTTGACAGGAAATGTTTTTCAGTTAAAAACAGTTTCGGTGCATTATCTCCAGAGATCGCGTAATAATATCTGCTAACTGACAATTTTCAGGAGGAAGAAAAAAAATTATCTGCCAGTCATTTCTAGATAATTTTCCCACAGAAGAGCAATTAGATCAGATAACGCAATACTTCCTCTTAAAGAGACACTCAAGAATACCCACCTACTAGAGCCAGACTGGTTGCTGATCAGTACTGGCTTTATATTTAGTGAGAGGCAGTCCATAGTGGCATGATCCTGACCTGTGCTCTTCCTGGCTGGAAGTGTTTTTGTGTCTTTAAGAACTAATGTATTTCCATCCCGACCCAAAATGGCTGAAGGGTTCCAGTGGTCAAGAGCCGAAAGGCCAGACTGGGAACCAGAGATATGTCCTGCAGATGAGGCGGACGCCATTTTTGATGTTGTCTGAGCCTGAGGAGCATCGTGAGTCAGGAACCGCACTGACTTTACTGGCTAAAAGAACATCAAAAAACAAATTATGCTTATGTTATTCATTTAAACCTGTGCCTTTAAATATTAGATCCTATTATTCCTAAAACATTTTTTTACCTTCTCTGCATTGTGCTTATGAGCCTCTGGTTTAACCAGAATGGACTGACGAGCTGTGCTGGCCTCTTTCTGGACAGGGTCCCTGTAGACCGGCTGATATCCACCAGCAGAGGGTGCTGCTGTTGTTTCATACGCCCAATGCTGCGTCTTAATGGGGTTTGAGAACAGCCCGTTTCTCTTTTTGGGAAGAACGGGTGAACGACCGAAAGTATAGATCTGTCCCAAATCCTGAGGAGGAGGCTGAAGGCTTAGGATGGAATGTGAATTGTAGCTTCCGTGGTGAGGCGACCCTAAACGAAAGGTCAAGCAGAAGTGAATCATTGCATCAGACTGAACAAATACACAAATATAACTGCTGCAGAAGAAACACAGCCCATGCAAGTTAATGTCTGTATGTCAACTAATCTATAAAAATATATGAAGAGAGAATAATCCATATATAATTTTTTTCCATGAAAATTAAAGGGATAGTTCACCCCAAAATTAAAAATGTGTCATTATTTACTCACCCTCAAGTTGTTCCAAACCTGTATAAGTTTCTTACTTCTGTTGAACACAAAAGAGCATATTTTGAAGAATGTTGGTAATCGAACAGGTGACAGCACCCATTGACTTCCATAGTAAGGAAAAAAAATTGCAATGGAAGTCAATGGACACCGTCACCTGTTTGATTACATTCTTATATTCAACCTTCTTTAAAATATCTTCTTTTGTTTTCAACAGAAGAAAGAATCTCATACATATTTGGAACAACATGAGTTGTTGAATGATGAGTTGAGTAAATGATTTCCTTTTTGGGTGAACTGAAAATTAATTATGTACACATTTTAATTAGGTACACAAAAAATGTACCTGTTTTGTAGAGTGGCCCTACAGAGTCACAACTGGTAGAAGGTTTGGAATAATTACGATTTTTTTTAATGTTTTTGAAAGAAGTCTCTTATGCTCACCAAGGCTGCATTTATTTGATCAAAAATACATAAAAAAATTGTAATATTGTGAAATTTTATTACGATTTAAAATAGCTTTCTTCTAGTTTAATATATTGTAAAGTGTAATTTATTCCTGTGATGCAATGCTTAATTTTCAGATAGTCACTCCAGTCTCCAGTGTCACATTATCCTTCTGAAATCATTCTAATATGCTGATTTGATGATCAATGATCAATTATTATTGGTTCATATTTTTGTGGAAACTGTGATAATTTTTGTAAGATTCATTGATGAATAGAAAGTTCAAAAGAACAGCATTTATTTGAAATACATATCTTTTGTAACATTATGAATGTCTTCAGTCACTTTTTCAATTTAATGTGTTCTTGCTGAATAAAACTATTCATTTATTTTAAAAAAAATCTTACTGACCCTTTAACTTTTGAAGGGTCAGTATATCACAGTTTCCACAAAAATATTAAGCAGTACAAGTGGTTTCAAGATTGATAATAATAAGAAATGTTTCTTGATCAGCAAATTAGCATATTAAAATGATTTCTGAAGGATCATGTGACTGAAGACTGGAGTAATGCTGAAAATTCTGCTTTGCATCACAGGAATAAATTACATTTTAACATATATTCAAACAGAAAGCGGTTATTTTAAATTGTAATAATATTTCACAATATCACTGTTTTTACAGTATTTTTGATCAAATGAATGGTATTTTTGATCAAAGCATAAAAGACTTTCAAAAACATTTTAAAAAAAACGTACTATAAATTTTGACTGGTAATGTATATTGACTTACAAGGACAAAATGTGCAAATAAAACACAAATTGGACTAGTTTTTGATTTAGAACAGTTGCAAAAGCTAAAGACTGACTAATGTTGTCACAGCGTGCTGGGGCTTGTTGGCTCTCACCCCTGTGTGTGGCATGGAAGGCGCGTCTCACTGTGCTCCATCCCTGCTTTCCACCCGGCTGCGGTGCTCTCCCGGGACCGGCAGATGACATCACGGCCATTGTAGCTGATGGGGAGTCGCTGTTTACTCTGTCTAGGGCCAGGACTACAGCCTGCGGCTTGTGTGGGGTGTGTCGTTTTGTTGATACTGTGCTTGTATTAGGAACAGCAGGTTTGGTTTGTTCAAGAAACCTTGCAGATGTTCTGTGAGAAAGTTAGTATATTACTGTAAACTTGATTATCAAGATAATAGGCGTGTGCTCGTAAAAATAAAAAGGTTCCAATTAGAACTAAAATGTTCCACAAAAAAAATGTTTGCATTCTCTAGTTGTTAAGTTATTTTTCTGCTCACCTGAGTACAGGGGTAACATAGTTGGCCGGCAGGATCCCTACTTTGCCTGTTCTGAGAGACAGTCCACGCAACCATCCCTCCTTGAATTTCCCATAAACCCCCACCATTTCACCCTTCTTCAGTTCCAGCTCCTCAGAGCGATGGGGTGTGTAGGAATACAGCGCTGCACACCTAAACAGATCATACATCAGGTTGAAGAAATATTGCAGCCAAACACCCGAAAAGGAAAATACTGTCATTATTTACTCACTCAAACCCATACTTTTTTTGCTGTATGAGAAATGTAAAGATTCTTCAAAAATTATTTAAAAAAGGAAAAGAAAGGGTGAACTGTCGCTTTAAAAGCCCAAGGAATTAATTCCTAAATGTCTCTAGGCCACAAAGAGACACAGTAACTAAAGATCTTTACAATCTACAAAATTAAATTAAAATGTTTGCGCTTCAATGCAAGACAATCTTTTAGGTGTTCTTCAAAGTTACATATGATCTCAAAAGCACTCACACACTGATGGAGAGCTGCTGTGTGGCAGACATCTTGCTCTCTGATGATACGGGGGACGACTGGGGGTTAATCAGTGCCATGGTAATGGCTGGCGGACTTTCACCATTCATTGTCCTGTCCCTCTGTAATAGTTAGAAAGTAACTGGTGATTTTTGTCTCTGCACACAAACACTGACAGCAATGTAATATCTTCAATACAGGTTTTTGAAAACACTTCCATAGATTTGTTGACCTTCAAACATTCGTGCTTATGTAGACCCTTGACAACATGTCTTTTAACATATGAAAACAATGAGTAGTACTTTATTAGTACTTTAATAAAACTAATTAACAAAACAAACAAACAAAAAAGACAAAAGACAGACAAGATAAAACAAAACAAGGCAACACAAAGATAAGACAAAAAAAAAAAAAAACCGAAAACAAAACAAGATGAAAGCAAAGCAAAACAAAACAAACAAGACAAGACCAAAAACAACAGTAAAAACAAAACAAAAGAGACAAAGTAAGACATGATAAAACAAAACTACGCAACACAAAAAGACAAGACAAAAAAAGAAACAAGCCTGAAAACAAAACAAGACAAAAACAAAGCCAAACAAAAAACAAGACAAAATAAAACAAAAAATACAAGACCAAAAACAACAGTAAAAACAAAACAAACAAACAAAAGAGACAAAGTAAGACACGATAAAACAAAACTACACAACACAAAAAGACAAGACAAAAAAACAAGCCTGAAAACAAACAAGACAAAAACAAAGCCAAAAAACAAGACAGAAACAAAAGACAAGACTAAAAACAAAAGTCAACACAAACAAATGACACATAAAATAAGACATTATAAAACAAAACAATGAAAAAATAAATAAACAAGCCTGAAAACAAAACAAGTCAAAAGCAAAGCTAAACAAAAACAAGACAAAATCTGACAGAACAAAAATGAATCAAAGACCACGAAGAACTTGAAATATGTGAGTTTAATGACATATTACTATTGTAGAAAGTTACCCAATTAATTATGTAATAATGTAACAGTTAAGAATTTCCAACTTTTATGCAATCCCTAAACCCAACTATAAACATAACTGAAGTTTTTAGGTTAATTTAGGAGTTATTTTGAGTAGTTACATACACATCTCTTACATAAACCCAAATGAAATATCTCTGACATCAGCCTTAGACTGAGATGTTTCCTCACTGATAACAAACGACTAACATTAAGGCCACAGGCTCGTGGAAGAGTCACATGGACTGTCGGAGAAATACGTCTGGGCAACTGAGTCTTTCTCTTAAACTGAGATCCAGTCTAATATTAGTGCATTACAAAAGCATGATGAAACAAGAGACCGATCTGTGAATCCTGTAGAGTTTCTGTAATTTTGACAATTTCCACGCCTCTCTTAAACACTTACACCTACAGTACGTCCCATAATAATTATCTGAGAGAGAGCAGGGGATTACAGCTTAGTTACATCAGCACTGCCACAGAAGACACAGAAGGCCTAGACAGTACATTAACACATTTTATTCAAAGCGACGTACAAATGAGAAATACAGCACAGGTGATTCATCCTAGCGAGGCGGTAACATTAACATAAGAAGTGCTGCAATCCAAAATTGTATCTTAAAAGTGCAACAAGAGTACAATAGAGCATTTATTTTAAGAAAGGAAGTTCGGTCCCAGTCCATATCACTGAAAATAAATTGGTGTAGGATTTACTTTGCGATCATGTTCACTCAGAAATGGCAAGTAAATTTTAGAAATAATAACAAATAAACAGCAAGTGACCCATTGAATTAAACATGAAATTTGGATGTAGAAAGACTGAAATTTTATTTTCTTTGAAAAAAAAACTTTTTTTTTTCAATGTGGGTGTCTTTAACTAGTATGTACTTGTGTAACAGAAAATTGTTAGGAGCAATGAATATCGTGTTGCTGCTTTTGAGGTGGGAAACGGGTAAAGTTAGAGACAGGCTTTATGGTAAGTCTAAAGGTTAGTTAAGGGAAGGGTCAACAGTGTAATTGTAGATGTAATTACAGAAATGAGTTACAGCTGTGATTACATGCAGGTATTTGCTATGCAAGTACAATCTAAAAACATTTACGGACACAGAAAAAGCATTGTATCACGTTATTATTAATTTAAATGTCAGTACATAATATTTACTGATACTTAATATAAAGTGAGTCCATCCTTTATAACTTTCTTGGAGATGTTTAATATTTGCCTTTTAAGAAATGTAATTAGTTTGTAAGACTTTGCCTATTCAAAATGATCAGGTTTTTGACTAGAGATTGTTTGACAAGAATATTGCTCTGTTATAACCAACCATAGGAGACCCAACTTCACAGATCATATTTAGATAACCCATTTGCTTTTATCCTTTTATTTGCAACTTCATATTTAAAGATTGTCTTGCAAGACAGACATCCAGTTATTTCAATCAGAATCAATGCGATTGTGAATTTCACGTCTAAGGGCGAAAGATTTCCCCATGCATATGAGTTCAAGTTGGTCATGTGAACACAAAGCATCAACCAACAGACAGCAGCTTGGTTTGAAAGTGACTTCAGTGTGAGCTGTGCTTCATACATCTACTGACAAAAGACAAAGGACCTTTTTTGCCCTCAAAGTTCTGGTGAAATTATATGATACCGCACCTATGGAAAAGAGCAGCCAGCAGATTCTGCAATATTGTTCTTTTGTGTTCCATTAGAAGCTCATGAAGGGTTTGCACCAACAATGAATTACTAAATAATCACATCAGTTTTATTTTTGGGCGATCTATTGCTTTAAATATTTTTCTTCTATCTGAATGACACTGCTGAGTCAGAAAGAGTGGGCATGTTTCCTATGACTTCACACAGTGTTGCACAATCTGAAGAAAAATCCAGTGTTAACCGACCCCCGAGTGACTCGCCTCTCCATGATGCGATGTTCTCCTCGCCATCTATTAATGACACAACTGATGGCAGGATGGGAGAGAGAGAGAGAGAGTCACTGCTCAGTGGAGAGGAATGAGCCTTTCAACCAGATAAGAGGAAAGTGTTATGTAACCCTATATGAGTCATGAGCTTGTAAAGCTGCAACAGAGAATGGGGCATTTTTAGCTCTCAGGCACGCTGCCTTCCTCTCATACAGCAAAACATCTCACACTGACAGCGGAGAGAAATATTTGTACACATTTTTTAGGAGAAAACATGAAGAAAGTAACTGCTCATTTTAGGTAAATCACATACATTAGCAGTGATTTCAAAGCATTATGTTTCTAATAAAATCTCATTTGCAACACTGCCAAAATCTCGTGAGATTGAAGCAGGTAAATCTGCATCATGAGCACATTAAGATATTATAAGTATTGTTCCTTTTCTATACAAGAAGGATCACAGATAACCAAAACAAACATTGCCTCACCATTAAAAATGAAGATCTCTGACTCATCATCTCTCTCCTTCACCAATAATGAATAGGATGTTAAATTCATGAATTATCATCCAAAAAACACCCAGTGTAGCTAAATCACAGCACTGAATGACAAAAACACACGCATGGCTCACTAATCGCATGTCTGCGTAGCACATAAATAGCCAATCGTCATTCCTACACAAAGAAATGTGATCAAAATACAGCCCCGAACAGGGATTGCTCACCTTAGGCAAGTTTCTGTGAGAGCTCCTCAGACGTGGTTTGTTAAACGTGCCGAGATGTGGCGTCTTGCTGGAGGAAGGCTGTGCGGTGGAGCTGATGTGAGCTGGCTGCTGGCTCTGGCTGAGAGGAGGATGGTTCAGGCTGTTCAGGAGACTGACATTTGGAGGCCTGGCCGACTTGTGGGACGCTCCAGTGAGCCGCCTGTGGACGCAAGCGTCTGCGTTGACCCTGATGGCGCTCCGTGGGTGCGATTCCACTGAGTCCCTCCTCTTGCGTTTCTCCAGAAGCTCGTACGCCGCCGGATTCGGCTACAGCGGAAAGACACAAATCAGGGTTAAAAAAGAAGCTGAGATGCACAATAAAGACATGCTGGCTCTCATCTGCATAAGCCACTTTACCCGCTGTGAGTTTGCCAGCAAGAAAAGTGCAAGTTAAAAGCGATTAGTCCCACCTGCTCGCTCTAAACTTCCTAAAAGGCAGCTGGATCTGAGGAACGCACTGTTAAGATGGACTGGTGCAGCACATGTGGGCAGGAGTGACACTCCCCCTCCCTTTTCCCATGATGTGCTGCTCTGCCACCAAAGAAAAAGACAGCATTACTGTGCCTTCACGCCTGGCTGGTCACCGCTGAGATGCCCGACTGGCGCTGAGAGGGAGGCTGGCTGCCTGTTTTATCTGACTAACCTCAGATTTAATTCAGTGCATGGATAATGAAAAGCCATCTGGAGCTTGATTATCCAGCGACACATGAGGTTCACCGGAGCAGCAGTGGCGGAAGAATGCACATCTCAGGCACAGAACTGCTGCGTCAGAGATAGCAAGCTCACTAACCACGTCTAAAAGCCCGTTATCACGCTCCGTAAGTAGCTGGCGACACCACGAGTGCTAAGAGACGAGGGCCTATTGTTCGGAATTTAATCGTGACATTAAACAGGGAAAACGATTAGCGGAAAATTGAAAAGATTCCCAAATAGTGACGAAGATTTCGCGTCACAAAGCAGTGAGTTACGTCATTTTAAATTAGCGTATTATTGCATAAAGGCTTAGAAAGAACAAAATAGTCAAGGAATATCTGGGTTATGTTTAAAATCAAAAGAAAAATAGGATATTTTGCACAAAGGAGTCTATTTTTTTTTCGTGCTGTGACATTATTTTCATGACAATTAAGCAAATATCCCTCATTCTCAATGGTCCACAATATTCTCATTACTGTAGTTGCTTGAATCAGGGGTCGTCAACAGGAGGTACTGTATGTGGCGGCACTGCAGGGGTCCTTCCAATTAATGTTCGATCGCAAACTCATTTTTGCTGAAGAAAATATAAAAATATGCATTTTAAACTATGAAGTTAACTCCAACCGAAGCTAAAGTTCAAGAGTCCACTACTACATTTAATCAGAGTTGAAGTCGTTTTAGTTTGTCACACTGTCCATTAGTTTTGTTTGTTTGTTTGTTTTCTGAGGGGTTGTTAAAAATCAACAAATCAAAAAGTTGCTAAAAATGACCGAAAATATGTAAATTCAGCTACATGCTTCATTAGCCCTTCCACATTAAAAGTTAAAATGTAATGTACAACTCTATGCACATTTTGAATGATTATTTTAGTGGCTTTCAATGTAATGTAAGCCTCACAACAAAGTATGTGAATATAGTAATATCATATACTATATACTATGAGCAAGTTATTGTAGTCCAACACTAACCTTCATAAATATAACAGAAAAAGACCCCTGGTTTAAATTGTAAAGCAGATTTTAAAGTATAATTGAAAGTATCACTGTTGTACTGTCTTTAATTTATGGTCTTTTTAATAATGAAAACAACATTATTTCCAATATTTTACATTACAGTAATGAGGGGAAAATCTACTCAATTTAAAAATAGGCTTTCTTTTCTTTGTGCAAAATATTTCTTTTTTTGGTAACATTTTACAATAAGGTCCTCTGTTAACATTAGTTACTGTAATAACTAACATATTTGTTCATCTTTGTTCACATTAGTTAATATAAATACAGCTGTTCAATGTTTGTTCATTTCACTTCACAGTGAATTAACTAATGAATGTTAACAAAAACAACTTTTGATTTTGATGTTGAAATGAACATTAACACAGAATAATAAATGCTGTAGAACTGCGGTTCACTATTAGTTCGTGTTAACTAATGTAGTAAACTAATGAAACCTTATTGTAAAATGTTACGCTTTTTTATATTTTGATTTCTGGGGTTAAGTATGATCTGAATCTGAACATTTCTTCAAAGAGATTCTCCATGTTTTGAAATCTAGAATAAAAAAATTGTTGCCTTACCTCTGTGAGCTGCAAAGGAAAAATCCCAACTTTGTCTCCGAGTTTACCTTCGACCCAATTTTCATTGACTTGTTTAATGAGAGTAATGCTGTCTCCCTGTGGGGGGGAAGAGAGACAGCCGTTAGGCAGCTGAGGGTGCATGGACGTCCCTGAAGACGTTTTACTTGGCTCAAATCACTCTACGCTGCAGGCCCATTACACCCTTAACTCGGATCCAGACCCATTTGGACCATCTGCTCTCAGAGAAGAAGAAAACACTCCGGGAAATGTCCTTTAATGGAAGCTGTGCCTGAGTCAGAACTGTTATATAATTCAAGTCCTGTGGTGTGACTAACAATACTGCTACATAAAAGAGCCCAAAGAAAAGAAATGTATTTGCTTCCCAGTTCCTACTCTATAAATCACACAAATGGGGCATGTAATACTCAAAATGCTTAAGTTTAACATACAATGGCCAAAAGAAGTATTTTGTCACTTCAGACACACATAAAAATCAATCATTTTAGCAGATGCCACTTTTGTTAATGTAATGAAATTCCTTCTTTTTTTTTTGTTGTTGCATGGATTAAGTTTCGTGGCCATTGTACCAACAAAACTGAACTGTGGTAGTACACTGATTAAAAAGAAGAGATTGACCTTGAAGAAGGTTAAGCATTCCTTGCTGTCGTCTGGATCCAGATTGTTCGCATTGAAGTCATAAAGTGCTCGGCAGAGGGCCAGCGGCTGCTCACTTATGACTCGCACCACGTTGACTGGTAGCAGACCAGTGCTCTCTTTGCTTTCCCCATAATACCAGTTATCATCTACTTTCCACCGCAGATAAATGATGTCACCTGACTTCATTGTGATCTCCCCAGGTGCATTCCCCTGGAAGTCATATAAAGCTTGGGCTTGAACCTGAAACAAATAAAAAGGAAGCCTGTCAATGCCATATTTTACTCCAAATTCTAAAGAAAAAAAATAATGAAGCCATTGTAGGACCATTATACTTTTACATTGTGGCATTATCAGCATGACAATTAAATACATCCAATTCTTATTACTGCAATGCCGAAAACTTAATTTTCATTACCGTAATGCACAACAATTATGAAATGACATATTATATATGTATGTATGTATACTTGTAAATAACACAGCATCTAACAGCTCTCTTTATTGTATACTGTCTCTCTAGTACTTCTAATGCATGTCTACTAAATTAGCATGGAATGGGAAATGCAGTGCGGAAAGTTTCCCAAGAGCTCAAAAGCATCCCAAGTGTGTAAACAGAGTTACTGTTTGTGGCTGCCGATTCAATGGCTTTTTTCACAACTGAAACTCAAATCCACCGACCTACTTAAACTAAACCAAGGCCCTGTGTGTTTCAGTGGACATTGTTAAACACACACAGAGATAATTGAGCTCTTAAGCAGGTCGGAAAGGCAAACTGACCTCCCATACATCCCAACACCAAACCCACTGATTTATTTATAAATACACATTTCATCATAATTTACGCTGCGCAGGATTATTGTTCTATCGAAAAACAAACATCATGTTTGATTTGGCATGACAACAGACACAATGTAATATGATACATTCTGGACAGATTTTTTGGAAATAATTCATATTTTGAGCACTATTTTCAGCATAATGATAAATCTACATCATAACATTTAAAAAATGATAATAATAATTTTGGTCCCACTTTATAGTAAGGGCATTGTACTGTATGTACTAACATTTAAATTATTCACTTGGTACAAGCATTTATTGTTTATATTTTTACAATGTATTTTTTTGTTTTTTTAAATACCTTCATGTAATGAATTTCTTTACATCTAACTACACTGTCGACCCTTCCCTTACCCGTTATACCCACTCTTAATCTACCAATACCACCAAACTTCTGCCTAACCTTACCCGTATCCCAATAGCAGCAAAAGTGTTTTGCAATACATGAACAAAGCGCATTGATTTTTTTTATGTAAGTACACAGAAGTTTTTAAAAAAGTTGCTGCCTTACATTTTTAAGTACAATTAACTTTGATGTTTAAGTCATTTGAACTTAAATCACAATAAACTGACTTAAAAAAACTTGTATAACTTTAAAATGGCTTAACTTAATTTTGATGAGTTAAAGCAAAGTAAAAACATATGTTGTCATAACTAATTGATCATTCATATATATATATATATATATATATATATATATATATATATATATATATATATATATATATATATATATATATATATATTACAGTAATATAAAGTGTGACCAAACCAGAAAGAATTTTAATCCAGAAAGAAACGCAAACAAGCCTAAGTCTTGACATGCATGCAAGACCAACTCAACTGCATGTCAAAAAATACAGCAGCTACACACAAAAAAAGAAAGACAAAGGCAGCTTTTTAAGTCTGTGCATTTCAAATCGTTATTCACACTCTAATGCAAGCAGCAAAAGTACATGTAGCCTACTTCTTACTTGTGTGTCTTGCTCCTGTTTGGGCAGATCTTGAATGTAACTGCCTAAAAGTTTCTCCTGGACTGTAGAGCTCACATATCTGCCGGATCTGTCCCTCGGTGTGCCCAGTGGAACCCGTTCCTGGAGGCTCTCTAGGAGTCTCACTAGCAGCGGATTGGTGGGAAGCTCCTCCACTGATCCTGGAACAGCAGTTCTGCACTCTGGGCAGCACATCTGATGGTGGTGTGATGCCTCGTGCTGCTGAAGGCATGATTTACAAAACGTGTGCTGGCACGGCAAAACCTTGGCAGACACGTCTAAAGGCTCCATACACAAAGGACACTCCAACAGGTCCAAAACAGCCAGATCCTCCATCATACAGGACTCAATCATACAGCACACTCCTCCTGCACACCTGACACATGATCACAAGCTTCACACAATATTCGATAACTATTTTAGCAAAAATACATAATATTATACAATAATTTTTCAAAGTAAACATGTTGCTAATAGCTCGTGTAGGCTACTTCCGTCAACACCTGTTTATCACGCGTAGCCAATATGTAAACAGGTGTGAACGCTGAACAATGCGAACGACATAAAGGCAGACACGACACGTGTATATTTTTAGCTTATATATCTATATTCTAGCTTAATTACGCTTACATTTCGATACATTTGTGCTATTATGATACTGTAGAGAGATGAGAAGCAAGTTTTCATTGAAATCAAGATCGGGCGAGTCGTCAGCACGTGACGTCATGTCACGTCTACCTGGATTACACGAAACACGTCCACAGCAAAATGAGTTAGATATAAAACTGAACATTGTACTCGAATACAGTTAAATATTCACATACCTTATGGTCACGAAAGAGTAGAAAAACTGATGGGGGAAAAAAGTCCTACTGGCGACTAATAGAGCAGGTCTAAACTGGATGTTTGCGGATAGGTGTCATTTTACACCTCAATGACAGCTGATTCAGCCGGAGACAATATTGGACTGAACATGACAGAAAACACTACGGAAACTTCTGAAATCAAAAATAATGTTTTCATTGCAAAAGTTCATAAGTTATTAATTAGGTAATAATTAATCAGTTGAATGATGAATTATAGTCAGAGACAGATTTAGAAAGATAGCCCGATACATTTATTTTTTCAGTGAAATTAAAGAAAAGGTTGGTCAATCAAACTAAATATTATTTTCTGTTCATTTTCTATAGAGTAGGCTAAAAAGCGAAATTTGCCAAAATTGCAGTTGTGTTATTTTACAATTTGCAATAATCAGTTACACTTTATTTGGTAACACTTTATATTACAGTGTCCGTGTTACAAGTTACATGTTGTTACTATAGCCTAGTAATAACTATAAATTATGCATAATTACATGCAACTAACCCTAAATCAAACTTAATCCTAACCCTTTAGTAAATAAGCATGTAGTTAATTAATTTTACAGTACCCTACTTAAATGTGTAATTACACTGTAACAAGAGCACCTTAAAATAAAGTGTAACCCTTTATTTTAAGGTGACAGTTGTACTTACTCAAATAAGTATACTGAGTAGTATGAATTAACTACATGTAGGCTACAGAGTTACTGTTAGGGTTTGGTTTTGGGTTAATTATACTTGTAATTATACATAATGTATTGTAATTACTAAGTACATTGTGTGAATGACAGTCAAGAAGGTCAAGGCCTCTGAGGTGGGAAGGAAAAATTCAACATCAAAGTCAACATTTTAGAGTCAATTATTATAGATAATTTTTAAATCAGTCTCACAAAAAAAATTGGATTTGTTCCTGTAATGGTTTAAAAGATGGGAAACAAAGTTTACTGTACTCGTGGAATGCACCATACGCTAAAAACAAGACACAATACACTGAGATCAATAGCTGGATGAGTTGCATGGAAATTAATTTCATTGCAAGGTCCAATATTCCAAGTTAATTTTGAAGTAATACTGCCGCCCTCTAGTGGTGAACAAAAGCAATTGGATCATGTTTTATAAAAATGTAGCATTGCCTTGTAATTTCATGTGTCATCTAGATTTTTCATTGAAACAACCCCATCAGGGAGCTTCTTTTCTGCCTAGCATTTCCCTACATGAATAAGCATATGCTTCAGTCAGACAGATTAATGAGCAGAAGATCTATTGACAGACAAGACAAGCCTAATGATGATGGGAGTTCTGGTAGTGATGACTGCAGCCTTAGTCAACGCATAAATCATCTCCTACTTTACTCTGCAATGAAAAAATTCAGACATCTGTTTTGAATCTATGGGATTTCAAATTCACACATCCCTTAAACCCCAAAGTCCCGTTAACATCTCTCACGGTTAAATTATTCATTAATATTGGCTCTGCGTTCTGCACAAGTTCAGGACATTCACTTAAATTTTTTAAGGGTGCATGAATTTTTTATCTGTTTTGTAAGTCTGCAGAATATTGGGAGGTTTTAGACATTCTTTAAAATAGATATTCATTTTCTTTTTATGTTTGTGAATTATTGCTGTAGTTTCATGTTTCCAGTGCTGCGTGTCAGATCTATGAATGCTTTTAAGTGATTCATGTAATCAGTTTGTTAGGTTAGGTTAGGTTAGGTTAGGTTAACATCCTGACAAAACTCAGAATGAGCCCTTGGCTGCTGTAAAGTTGAGTGTTTGTGATGAGCTGGAGAGATTATGCAAAAGTTTCAATGGGCCCTTACTGTGTGTTTGTAATTCTTTGTCCTCTTGTCTGATAGAGAGGAGAGAAGGAGAAGAGAACTTGCCAGCAGAGGGAGCAGTTTGTACGGCTACATGCAGCTGATAAGCCTTTCCTCTCAAATTGTTAGTGTTTCCTCTTTACGCAAAGATTATCACTGGCTCCTAATAACGGTATTCCATTACTTTTCTCATTTCATTTGTCATTCGGCTGGTTTCGTTGTTTGATCATTCATTGAGATTTGTGCTTTCTCTGCAGTTTGAAGTATAATCAAGTCATCTGAGTTCTGTGGGAATGGGTGTTTATAGGCTTCCATTACAGGCCATCGATTATTCATGGGTTGATTATATGGCTATTGTTTCCTGCCATTATTTCTGAGAGTTTTTATTGATCAAAATAGTCCACCCACATGTAGGCTACACTCTTTCCTTGCTCATCTCGATGCAGAAATTACTTTTGTAACTATAGTCACTTATAATGATCAAAATATTGAAATCTTTGCTGTGTATAATCCATGCCAGAGAGAGATCAACAGTAAATCTAAACACTGTTAAGGTGTCTCTAATAAGTAGTGTCATTCGCGTTTCCTGCTGGGGGATGTCAATCTGTTGTATCTTCCTTTTCTGGGATACTACAACAACTTCTGTTTGTCTTGCTTCTGGTGTTTTGTTAATTATGGTTACATATGTAGCATGTGTGATTGTGCAGAGTTTTTAATAAAGAGCCTGCTGCGCAAGACCAACCGGAATAACAACATTTTTTTAAGGTTAAAAGTCCCTCTTGTATTTGTCACAAAATGTTAAAACAATTCCCACAGATCAAATTGTATACAGAGTCAAAAACTGAATATTAGTATAAATAGATGATAGATAGATAGATAGATAGAACTGTCACAATCTAATGATAGATAGATTATAGATACCTATGTGTTATTTGTCACAAATTAAATTTTTTTTTTTTTAAATACCACGGATCAAAATATTCAACCCCCTACTATGAAACAATGTTGAAAGTCTGTCACATTGGATCAACTTAATTATCCTTGTCTGAATGCCTTGAATCTAATTTGGAAACCAAATGTTAGTTAGCTGTTTCAGTAGCAGGTGGTCCCCTGCCAAATGTCTTTACCATCCATCTGCAGAGCACCTGTGCTCTCGTTCTGCTTATGCTCTGGTTCGCCAGTGAATCATTCACCATTGAGTAATGCATTGTCCCTCTCAGCTCTGGGCATTGACACCATGAAACCAATGTAAATGATTGAAGTAATGACTGAACATGTCACTGGATGCTGATACTCCACCGTGATGAGAACATCAAGCCACTTCAGCCTGGTTCAGTTCAGTGCTGACCTGATATTGTTGTGCATGTCCATTAAAAAAAAAGGGCTGTCATCAGTGTGGCATCTGTGATGTTGTGACATTATGCCTGACCTCTAGGCGAGCCATCTAAGGTCCTGCTTGCCTTCTGGACCTGACAGGCCATCATCAGAAATAAACCTCAAGCGCTCTCATTACAGAGGACATTACGTTCATTTGCACAAAAATGATCTGATATGTCCTGGGTGGATGAGTGTAGTAGTAGTGGTGGGCGTGCATGAAACATCCGTGGAGCTTTACATCTGGCTGTGAATACTAAAAATGGGACATGCATACGGCTCAGACTGAAGCCAGCTTTTAATTGAAGAACACATAAACAGCTGTCAGAACAAGCAAAGGACCTAAATATAGGACACACACACACACAAACATGCTTGCAAGCCAGCTGCCTCCCTGTTTGTCCTCCTCGAGAACACTCTATTTTCTGAAGAAAAAAAAAAAACAGCGAGAGAGGGGGGTTGAGTACAACATAAAGCCAAACTCTCCGTCTCTGTGCCCTGGGTTAAGGCTGATTAACTAGCAAAATTAGAAAACCAACCGCAATGACCTCCCGCCAAACATATTTTTGAAATAATTGATCTCCTCCAATTCCCTCATGCTTTATTCCCATTGATTTCCAATGAGTGCTATTGGCCCCCAAGGGAAATTCCATCAGTGGTGAATAAGAATGCAGGAAGGGAAATGAGGCTACATTTAACATCAGTGCACACAAAAAGGGTCTGTATGAATGTTCACTGAACTGATAAGACCTTTATTCATTGTAGCATGGCCACTCATAAACAAAGAGAGCGAGGCACAACTCTGCGATGAAAGACAGAGTTCTCACACTGATTTCGGTTTTCAAGAAAGAAAGAAAAGGCACTTTTTGAGTTGTTTATGCAGCTCGTGTGAAATAAACAGTGCCTTTTCATTATTTCCCGTGACACCATGCAATAGGCTGTTTGGTTTCAAAGTAAAAACTGTAACATGATTACATAGCATCCCACATGTTTGTAAATGATGAAACTAATTCATATTTGAAATGATACTGGCTGTCGTTCCCGCACTTATCTGCCGGGAAACAAACCAGCTCAATAATCACGGCTTTGATGTGTTTGTGTGTGTCTAATTCCAATTCCATACAAAGATTTCATTTTTGAACTCAGCCGAGGATCCAGACACAGTTTTTTCGCTTGAAATTTTGTGCCGCAAGTCCCCAGAGTTTTTGTCCTTTTGCAACCAAAACCTTTTTATACCTCTGCTATATGTGATCTGTGTGCAAGCCACTGAAAATGTATTATTATAACAGATCT